CGTATACACTACACATTGGACGCAGCTTGCGTTTCGTGCACACGCAGTCGTGCTGCTGCTGCTGCTGTTGTGCTGTGCTTGATATGCGTACGTAATAAGTAATGTATAGATATGGGTCAAAATAATACTTTTTTACAAAACCGTGCGCACGTATGTCACCGATCTTGACGCGCTTTTGGTATGTTATAGTACATGGTAAAAAGGTCCCAAAAAAAAATTTTTAGACCCCCTCCCCCCTCCTACCCCCCACTTCCGGTATAAACGTCCATTTTCGATCTATATTTTTTCTGAGGACATGAAGCAAGTAAAAAATCTGAAAAAATTCATAAAAATACTTTTCCACAATCCAAACAACCTTGAATTTTTTCAGATTTTTTGAGTGCTTCAGGCCTTCAGATAAAATCATTGAAAATTTCAAAAATCGAGATACGGCGGTATGAGCCGATGTAGTACTCGGAAATTTTTTCAGTTATTTTTCGCATTAAAAAACATAACCTCAATTTTTTTCAGATTTTTTCAGATTACCTAACGCACCTTTTGAAGCCAAAAACCGATTTTTTTGACGAAAATAATTTTTTTAGGACAGTACGGAGCCTCGAAAAATCTGAAAAAAATTTTTTCTTGTTTTTTTCATCAAAATACGTAATCTCAAATTTTTTCAGATTTTTTAATTGAAGGCGATAGCTTCTAGGGCCGAAAAATGCTATTTTTAACAAAAAATGGTTCCTAGAACCCGATGGTTCCGGTGAAAAAATTTGAAAATATTTTTTTTGAATTCCTTGTCAAATTTTAATAAATTTTGACCGTTTCAAAAGTTCGATTGAAGCTTCCTAGCTCATTTTAGAGCAGGACAAAGATTAGTGCAAAATATCTGAAGACGTTTCTGAAGACATTAAGGAATGATAAAACTCGTTTGATGCTCTAAAATGAGCTAGGAAGCTTCAATCGAACTTTTGAAACGGTCAAAATTTATTAAAATTTGACAAGGAATTCAAAAAAAATATTTTCAAATTTTTTCACCGGAACCATCGGGTTCTAGGAACCATTTTTTGTTAAAAATAGCATTTTTCGGCCCTAGAAGCTATCGCCTTCAATTAAAAAATCTGAAAAAATTTGAGATTACGTATTTTGATGAAAAAAACAAGAAAAAATTTTTTTCAGATTTTTCGAGGCTCCGTACTGTCCTAAAAAAATTATTTTCGTCAAAAAAATCGGTTTTTGGCTTCAAAAGGTGCGTTAGGTAATCTGAAAAAATCTGAAAAAAATTGAGGTTATGTTTTTTAATGCGAAAAATAACTGAAAAAATTTCCGAGTACTACATCGGCTCATACCGCCGTATCTCGATTTTTGAAATTTTCAATGATTTTATCTGAAGGCCTGAAGCACTCAAAAAATCTGAAAAAATTCAAGGTTGTTTGGATTGTGGAAAAGTATTTTTATGAATTTTTTCAGATTTTTTACTTGCTTCATGTCCTCAGAAAAAATATAGATCGAAAATGGACGTTTATACCGGAAGTGGGGGGTTGGAGGGGGGAGGGGGTCTAAAAATTTTTTTTTGGGACCTTTTTACCATGTACTATAACATACCAAAAGCGCGTCAAGATCGGTGACATACGTGCGCACGGTTTTGTAAAAAAGTATTATTTTGACCCATATACATAATGCATACTCGTTTGTACATAACAGTATGTGTCCACGGCATACAAATGTTTTTATCGTAGATACATGCTATGCTATACTCAATGGCAGGAAACGAAGAAAAGCGAGACGGTCCACGGACGACGACGACGACGACGTTGAAGCAGCAGTTGAACGTCGCGTCCATGTCACGATCTGACAATTAGAGCCCTCGATACTGCTGCTGCATATAGACCAGGAATATATAGAATGTACGGGTCGGCCATTTCGGAGGAAAACCTATAATTGATCCATCATTCGCTATATGGAATAGCGCAGTCATTCATTGCTCCTTCCTTGCCATCCAAAATTCAATACGAAGATTTCTCGATTTCTCGCTCTTTTTGGAGTTCGATCGATCGTAGCCCTCTACATTTTATTATTAAAGATAGGCGTGTATTTACACGCTCCTCAGCTGTTTTAGTCGCGAACAAACTGAATTTAAAAAGCTTCGAACGAGAACGAACGAAAAAAAAACAGGCAGAAGCCTGCTTCGTCGAAGCCAAGATATCCCAAACGGTAGCTTGACAGTCCAAGTCAGTCGGATATAGCTGTCGCATGTACGCGAGATGTATACATTCGACGAAGACGAGCACATGTGTATGCGCTACACACGCATGCGATGGGTTCTCTCTCTCTCTCTCTTCCTCTTTCTCTCTCTTCAGTCGTCGCAGCTGCTGCTACTGCACTTACACTCGTGCTATAAAGCTCCGATAACATTGGGGAAACGCTATTGGGATTTAAATCGAGCATATACTTAATGGTAGAGGGGGTAGGTATGGCCGTTTTAAATAGCCAAGCTCGATGCTTCAGGTATGCGAGTTCGGCATTTAAAACGGCCATATTTGTCTCCCTCCACTCCGTACGTACTACTCACTTTAGATGGATCCCCCAAGTAATACATGGGTCTTACTAATGCATCGCCAGCAGTTCGTGAGTGTGTGTTGGTGCACACACGAGGCAATCCAACACACACGCACAAGTGTAGAGGATATATATTATATATATATATTTCGTAGTTCCCCACCCGCACACACATACACATGCGTAAATGGGTGTACGAGTCTTTGCAAACTGCGCGTGCAAACTCCGTACATATAGATATAGCACGATATATGGATAGACGACGCAACTCCGCAGCTTTCCCGTTTGTCGACGTTCGTGCCAATATATACATGCACACAGGGGCTCTCCTCTCGTGTGACAGCGCGTCATGAGGAGCGGGGTAGGAAGGGGGGCACTTCCCTCCCCGAGTACACGAGAGTCGGGGCTTCCCCTCGCTCGGCTTCCCCACCCAGACATCCGCAGCCAGCAGCAGACCACGAGCACACTGCTCTGCACCGACTGTCGAGAGTTAACTCTGTATTATTATGAAGCAGCAGCAGTCGACGCATGCGTTCGCCCCGACTTTCTCTCCTCTCTGCTACGTCGTAGCAGCACATGAATTAAAGCGTGCATGCACTGCTCTCGCAGCGAAACTCTCCGCTCTGCGCTCATGCCTCATGCTTTTGAAAGAGCCCACGAGAGACTCAAAAGAGAGAGAGAGAGAGATGCCGAGAAAAATTGCCAACTCCTGCTTGCGCGTTGCCTGCGAGCAAAGCCGCTGCTGCCTGTAGCTGAGCACTATGCCACTGAACGCTGTTTTTCTCTGCGAGCCCTCGCTTGTGTGTGCCTCCGTATATAGCACAGTGACATTATGTATACAGTAGGTATAGGTACTGGCAGACAGCTCGGGAGAGAAAAAAAAGGGTGAATAAACGAGTAGTATAGTCGCTGCCTGTCTGCGCCAACTATCTTTCATGCCGCAGCACCGCAGACAGTTTCGCAGACGGTGACGATGACGGGCTAGAGGATCCTCTCCTAGATTCCCATATAATATAATATCGTTGATGTTGTATAGGTACGTTTCGAGGTTCGAATTCGATGCGGAACCGAAATATATATCGGCGAAATCTTTGGCGTCGATCTCGTAAAGGGGGAGATACATAATAATAGGCATTGCTGCACAGCCGCTTCACAGGCAACTACAACGAGCCGATGTGCCGCCTGTACCGCCGCCGCGCCGATTTTCAAATGGGCCTATATACGAGTATAGTACCTATACAGGAGGGAAGGGCGCCCCCGCATCTATAGGTACAGCAACAATCGTTCGAAAAGCTCGGCTCGGTGAGAGACCTTCGAGTACGGGGGACAGCTGAAAATACAATTGGATCGTTGCTCCTCTCCTATGCGTGTGATACGCTCAGGCGCAAACGTACAATGAGCGATGTACACAGGCAAGCACACACATTGGAAATTGAAAGAAAAAATAACGCTCTCGCACGCAGGTGCTGCTGGTGCTGCTGCTCTCGGTGCATACACCTGCGCTGCTTACACGCACGTGCTATATACAAAGAGGCGCAGACATCATTGAGATCCGTTGAGCAACGAGTTACATTAGCGGCGACGCTTATGTTATAACGCATTAATATTGTGTCGGGCTTGCGAGCATCGCGTTGGCAGTTTACAAGTATTATACTTGCGACGACGCAATCGACAGCAGCAGCAACGTTGCTGGCACCCAACGTTGATGACGATGATACGATACCCGAGGCAAGCAGGCGATATAAATTAAAAAAAAACGTCAACGCGGCTTTTACTCGGTATAACGCGTGAAACAGCTGAATTGACTAACAACGAGGATGGCAAAACATTATAATACGCATTAAATAAAAAAGTGTGCAAGTATTACACACATACATATGGGTATGAATTAAAGGAGACGACGAAGACGAGTCTTACGAAGCGGATGAGTGAGAGAGACGTTTCGCTTTGCGTGTGTAACGTGCCATATTTTTCATACATAAGACACTGAAATGCTGCTGCTGCTGCTTTTGGCGAGCTTAAAAAGCAGACGAAGAAGCGGAATAAAAGCAGGCGAATCTCTCTCGGTACAGAGCCAAAGAGGGGAGTGCTTGCCTGCTGCCTCGAATAACATATAGAGGGAGAGTAGAGAGAGAGGGAGAAACCAGGAGGGGAGGGTTTCGCTGTATTTGCAATTCTGCTGGCATGTTGGCGTTCGTATTTCTCGCGTGTATATACATAGTCACACACACGCGAGATCTCTCCTCCACGCTGCTTATTCACAGTAGCAGCAGCAGCAGCAGCACACGACGGGGGTGTCAGATTGGCAAGCCAACTCTTGGCGCAGCAGCAGCAGTTGGAGGAGTGGAAGCGCCGAGTATTATATAGAGAGGAGGAGAGGGGAGCACGCGAGCGTGGGGAAACACTTTTGGTCTTTTGTACCCGACTGTTTGGGTATAGCCGAGTTGCGAATATGCGAGTTTAGCGAGAGCCAGCCTGATGCTGCTGCTCCGAAGTCGCAACAGCGTAGCAGCGTCGTATAGCGCGCAGCAGAGTCTCGACGAGTCGCGGCGAGAGCTGTGATACATACCAAGTACATACATAACTATATAACGTTAAAACGTGTGCTGTGTTGTTGCAGCAGCAGTAGCAGTGCCCGTCAGCGTGACTGTGTCGCTTATATAGCATTGCGCGCACATATAGATACATACGTACACCACGTTGTTATTTATGTGTGCTGCTCGGCGCGCTGTGCCGAGGAGAGCGATTGCGAATTCCTCGTTTACAAAAGTGTGCTTCGGTGCTGCTTGCTTCGATCGAGCTGAGTTATCGCTCATAGCTTAGCCTCTCTCGTTGTTCCGAGGAGCTGAAGAAAGAAAGAAAGAAGTTGAATTGAAAAAAGAAACAACGAAACCTAGGGAACCTCGTCGTCGGGGACACTGATATACAAGCGTGCGCAGTACGCGGAGCCTCGCGTGCACACGTTACTATCTCGAAACTACGTACTATAATGCAAGTGCGTCCTCTATAACTCGCCTCGTGCACTACGTATCGACGAACAATAAAAGTAAAGAGGTTTCACTTCAAAAATTCAAAACCAAAAAAAACAATATCACAACTACGTCGTCGTCGGGGTGCACAAGTGCAACGACGCAAGACTCGCTGCTGCTGGAAAACGAGTTCAATCGTCTCGTGCTGGATACGCATCTCTCTCTCCCTATCTCTCTCTTCTCTTTTTCAGGCTGCAACAGTAGCGCAGTGCAGTGCAGTACAACAGAGTCTGTATGTGCAGTGCGTGCGTGAGTGTGTTTTACGCAGTCTCTCTCTCTCTCTCTATATAACTTGAAAGTCCGTGTATTATAATGTGCGCCTAGTGCCTAGTGCCTAGTGCTCTGCTGCGGAGTGCACATTATTATAATACGGCCGAGCGTGTGTTGTTCTCCTCTGCGCATACATAAGTGTGTGCGAATTCGAGTGTGCGTGTGTGTGTGTGTGAGAAACGCGTAGGTGTCAGTGCGCTCTCGATCTCTCTATCTCGCTCGCTCGCAGCAGTAGCTCGCGAGTGCGTTTGGTGTTGTGTCCGTGTGAGTGTGCTGGCGCAGAGCAGCACGGCACATAGTGTTTTGCAGCCTGCTAGTAACTGGCGAGTTGCGAGAGAGTAGAGGCGAGCTGCGTGCGTCTAGTGACTAGTGCGCGCGACGACTGCTACTACCTACCTATCCACTACACCTCGCTACCTACTCGCCACTAGCAGTGCCGTCTCGTCTGTCGAGTTGGCCAAGGTTTCTCGCTCTCTCTCTCTCTCTCTCTCTTTCGCTGTCTATCTATCGTCGCTGCTGCTCGCCTCGCGAGTTTAGAACTCGATTTTCGAGGCGCACCAGTGACTAGCCTCTGGCACACCTAACAGCAGCAGCAGCGAAGCAGTGCCTGCCTGCCTGTCGCTCGTACTGGCGGTTATGCCCAAGTACTACGACGTTATTGCATACCAGCCATAATATCGTCGTCGTCTGTTGCAGTGCAGTGCAGTGCGAATCGTGAAGTGTATGTGCAGTGTGCTCTACTGCTAGTGTGCTGCAATACACATTATTATTATAATACGTGTTGGTGAGTGAGTGAGAGAGAATCAACGTGAGAGTGTGTGTGTGTGTAGGTGCGCGCACTCGGTGTGTGTTGGTGTTAGTGCGTTGGTGGTCCGTCTCGACTGGCGCATGGATGCGCCAAAAAACCTCCTCGACGACCAGAGCCCTCCCAAGAAGAGGAGCCTTGGCGCGCTATAGCTATTGAAAATGATTCGGACGATCGGCCCTGGCATGAGCAGCAGCGCCCGCATCACCAGCAGCAGCACGCAACAAACTACTACCACTAATTCTGCTACTACTAATTCTACTACTACCACTACTGCGCTTTCCTCGGCGTATCTCGGCCACACGGCCATTATGCTACTACCGAGCAGTAGCCGTTAATCGAAAATTACTTGCTGTGTGTTTCTGTGTTCAGTGGCTAGCCTAGTGTGGCTAGCGATAAATCGTTATTGCACGTGTGCTGCTGATTCGAGATATATGTGCGAGAGGCATTTACGGTCAGCCTCTGAGTGCGCGTAGTGCAGTGCAGTGTGTGCATTTTATAATATACATTAAAAAAAAAAAAAAAAAAACGTGTGTGCACACGCCATACGCCAACAAAAGTCGTCATCGTCGTCGTCTTTCGTCTTCGTCGTTGTTGCGCGTTGATGATTAACACAACGCAGAGCGAGCGAGCGTCATCGTCGAGTGCTCCTACTGCTACTGCAACGCTTTACAACTATAAATATACACACATGTGATACATAACTCTATACTATACGTATATATAGTAGTGCAATACAATACATACACACGTACGTCGTGTATGTACATGTTGATCGTGTGTGCGAGTGAACACACACAGATAAACGATATATCAGCTCTTGCTGCTGTTACTGCGCTCCTCCGGACGACGTGTGGTTTTCGTCGTTGACCACGACGAGCCCAACCAGCCCCGTAAGTTCGACCCTTCGATATCTCGTCAATCTCGAACTAATTTTTGTTTTTCTTTTTTAAAGTCAAACTTTTTATTTTATTTTCTCTTTGTACCCACATCTGTCTCGAGTCTTATTATTTTACCCTTTTTTATTGTTCTCGGCATGCAACGATAAAAACGAAATAACGTAACACCCAAGATGATGGACGAATACTTGCTGCAGCAGGGCCCACCGGGCTACAAGCGCTCGCGAATGTCCGAGCCGCCGCTGCCCAGTCTCACACCCAACGGCAACTTCATAGGTTTGTATTTATTTATTGTTGTTGTCCTTATTATATACTACGTGTACGACTCTACTCTATTATGCTTTCATGGCTGGCGTTACTTTTTTTTTATACTTTTTATATACTCTTGTTATTATGATTATTATTGTTATGATTGTGATTATTATTTTCCATTTTTATGTTGTTATGTTTATGTCCATCGTGTTATCAGGCCTCTATATAGTACACGTCGTTGTTGTAGTTCGTGGCTGGTTATATTACTACTGGTCGTCGTCGTCGAATGTCGCACATTATTTTATACTTGCATACATAGTCGATGTGTGTATGTAGGTATGTGTGTTCGTATTATAGTCGTCGTCACAATTGGCCATTCGCAAATCGCGACGATGTGTGCTAGGCGATAAGAACAAAAAGAACAAAAATAATAATAATTGAAAATGAAAAAAGGTCGATACATCGCGGCCGAGCCGTTGTGTGCGCTGCGTTCACGATATATTTTATTCAACGTTTACCGATAGAGCAGCAGAGAGAGGAGATGCCGATTAATTCGGGGCTCTATTTCTTCTTCCTTTTTTTGTTCGTCGTCGTGTTCTACAATCGATCTCGTTGGCTTTAAGCTAGAACTGACCCAAGGGCAAAATTTAAAAGCGAAATTTTGCGATGCACCTTGTTGTTTTCTCTGCTGCTGCGGCGCTCTCTTCTTAGTCGTTTCTGTGCAGCCATGTTCCCCACGTGTGTGATGTATTGACACACACGGGGCCGAAAGAGACTGCAGTAAGGTACACACATGCATACATGCATATAGCATCGCTGTGTATATGTAAGTGTATATGTGCGTAGGGTTTTGTTTGGATTTCAATCGGCTCTCCTCCTTTCCTGTCGTACCCCCACTCGGCTCGACCGCCGCCTCCCCGACTGTATGTATATACGACGTTGTTCCTCGTCGTCGTAGTCTTTTTGAACCTTCGCGAAGAGGTGAATGTGTAATCATACGCGCGTCGGCTGTTGTGCACCTCCTTGCTATATAGTACATGTATATAGAGCTATGCTGCAGCACACCACGCATCTAATGACAGGGGTGGAAATCTGCTGCTGCGGCTCTTAGGGGAGAGGCCATACATGTACACACAGTCAGCCGTGTGCACACAAGAGTCTCCGTGTGCATGTGTTTGTGCGTCTGCTGAGTGTGCTCGTCGTTGGAGCCATAGCACTTCTTTCTCTCTCTCTCTCTTTCACACACTTGCATGCAACACGTAATACACACAATTTCTCTCTCTCTTTCTCTCTACAATACATGTGTACCTATACGTCTATGTATACGTGCTCACAGGCACACGCTTAACTTGATCTACAGAGCTGCAGCATTGGTCTCTCTTTCTCTCTGTGTCTGTGGGTCTTTGCGTGAGTCTGTGGGTGTGTGTATATAGGCATTATAATATGTACGTGTGTGCATGTGCGAGAGTGAGTCTGCCTGCCATGCCGCTCTGCTGCCTGTCGGAAGCGGGGCCACAGCGCACTGCTGCGGCTGGCTTGGCTGGCTCTCCTGCTGCCGCTGTTGCTTTAAAAGACTCTTTCTCTCTGTCCACGGTGCGAGTGTGTGCATGTGTGTATAGTTGGAGTTTTTTTTTTGATATTTTTTTTAGTCATCCTCGAGAGGTTCAAACAAATCCCAACGAATCCGACACACGAGCGGAGCAGAGCAGAGCTCGACTCGCCTCGCTTCGGCTTCCCATATTCTCTATAACATACTTTACACCGTATCGTTTCGACGGTTCACATATCGTTTTTTCTCTCTTTCTTCGTTCGTTTCGACCATTCGGCGGTGAACGGACACCGAATAGTTCCGAATTATATACACATACGTTTCTGTTCATTAACTCGTAGAGGCTGATGAGAGAAGATCGAGCGAGAGAGGCCATTCTGCGCAGGAGAAATTTCTTAAATTACTTCATTATCGAGCTGCCTCGAGCTTAAGAGCTATATTCGATAATTCAAAATGAAAAAAAAAAAATTACCATTGCGCTCGGTGTGGCCTTGCGCGTCGACGCAAGCGAATACTAACGCTGGAATTAGTATAATTTCGCGTATAGTAGCGCTCGCGAAGAAAGCGATGATATCCCCGTTGATCGTTTCGCATAAATTTTCAAGCAAAAAATAAAATTGCCCACACGGCAAAAATTGCGAACTCGCGCAAGTCGAGAGAGAACGAGTTGCGTATTATATAGGCCCAGCTGTCGAAACATTATCTCGAGCTGTAAACTTATCGCGAGCGAGCGCTATGCTGTCGAGGCAATACTCAGAGAGAGAGAGAGAGATTGATAAGTTTTGCCATTATTTTATTTCTGTGCTTTCCACAAAGAGAGCCGTTCGTGCGAGCGCTTTCTTGTGCTCATGCTCGCTCGCATCGTTTCTTCCGAGAAAGGAAAAAAGATACGTATGGAAATTGGGGGTCCAATTTGGGTTGACACACGAGAGCACCGTGTGTGAGGAACGCCGCGTTAGTACTACTTTACGCGGGATAATAATCGCGCGCGCGCGCGGGGAAATCGATTGCGGTCGTCGTCGACTTTGTATATATCTAACGAAGCAGTCAGGCAGGCAGGCTGGCGTTCGATGAACCCACGAGGCAACATCTAGACTAAGCAAACTTTTTCAAATTCGATTGAACGTATTTATCTACTATTTAGGAATTATAACGTCGCGCGCAAACGAAGCGCGTCGTAGCGACAAACAAAGCGCTGCTTTTATATTGTAAGCTCTCCTCGACGCGCTTGTACATATAAAAATTACGTAAGCTCGCCTCGCTCGCGCACTCACGTCGACGCGATAATGGTCTTCTCTCTCGGGTGCTCGTGTGCACATCACTACTCGTGTGCCGGTGTGCTCGTGCTGCTGCTGCCACGTTTCTTTCTCGTCGTATATACGTGCGAGCGACCCCGAGTTGGAGCTGCTGCTCATTCTGCTGACCGCGTTTAAGCGCAAAAGAGAGACAGAGACGGGGCGAGAGAAATCCACAGAAAAGCTGTCAGACTCGTACGATTGACACGTACTGCGTCATGTTGCGCATGTACCCGGCTCGACCTGTGTGTACACGATGTATCCTCTAGGCGGCCGGTATTAGACTCGATGAGGTCTCTACTCTACTCTCCGTGCGTGTCGTTTTGTCTCTCTCGCTCTCGCTCGTTTTTTTTTTGAACCGTAATCTACCGCCACCACCACCATCGCCGTCGTGCGTTTCTGCTGCGTTGTTCTGACTCTCTCGTTTGCTCACGAATATTTGCAGATGCTAGATCCAATATGGTACCATTCGGCTTCTTAGCGGGCCAAGATAGAGACGCGGACATGAACATGGCTGCCATGTCGATGGGCGGTGGCAGCTTAGGCCTGAATCCGGTGCAGGAATTTGGACAGCTATCCGCTCCTGGCCCGGACTGGCGGCACGCCATCGCGCCCGACAGTCGAAATCGTTTCGTCTACAAAATGTAAGTCTCTCTCTTACATTACCAAAAGAAAAGAAAGAAAAAAAGCGCATTAGCGTAGCGCCGAGCTCTCGCTTTGGAGCGCTACATCTCTCGTGAAAAATCCTTTTGCTGATCATTTTCCTTTTTTGTCTCTGTGCGCTCGCTCGACGCGATGGCAACGTGCTGCTCTGCTGCTGCTGCACACACGCAGATCGCAGGCGTTAATGCACAGCTCGAGAAACGGCGAGAACGTGGACAACCGATTGCCAAAGTGGATATCAGCTGCGAGAAAAATTGAGGGTAAAGCCTTTAAGATGGCAACGTCTAGAGCGCAGTACTTTATTCTTGCGAAAGAAGAAATTCATAAAATACAGTCAGGATACGGTAAATCGATCGATTTGTTATTCTTGACTACATAACATTTCAATTCGAGAAAAATAAAACCATCAGATTCTCAATTCGATTGGATTATCTCAGCCTCCTCCCTACCCCACCACGCCACAACAAACACACGTAGATCTTTAAAGTGTATAATAACACACATGCTCTTTTTCTGTATTATATCTACTTCTCTCTCTCTTACTCTATTTCTCTCTGTCTTTCTATCTCATTCACGACCCGTCAAAATTATTATTCGATACAGCCAGTTTAAGCACATATTTTTTTTCTCTTCTCGTATGATCTAATACCAAAAAAAGTAGACGCTTATACTTATAACCAAGCTTAAAACTTTCAAGTCACGAGACGTTAACTGAAACGCTCTATTCTTTTTTTACAGGTTTCCCCGCTCTGGTGACTAGTCAACAATTTATTCCGCCGAGCAGTACGACCTCGTCCACAGCTGCCAACCATATTCAATTACTACAACAAAATAGTTACGGTTTCGGGGAACAAGGTAAGCTTGCGGCATAAATACAGATATCCAACTCTTCACTTCATGTTCGCCTTATGGTCATTACGTTTGTATTCCATTTTTCCACAGCTCCTGTGACGCAGTCGTACAGCCAGCCCGGCCTCGCCCACTCGGCCACGTCGGTCAACATATTCCCCGAGGAGCCCGTGGGTACGGGTGGCTCCATGAGAATACCCGTGACCAGCTCGATGAGCACGCCGCGCCCGAGTCGCGGCAGCGGCGCCGGTGGCACCATGGTTCACGAGGTCTCGAGCAGCACCATACCAATAGGTACTTTGTTGCTTGCACAAACTTGTACGTTGATTTTTTTTTGTCAATTACTTTTTTGCGCCTTATACTTTATTCCGATTTTTTTATATTTGAAGAATTATTAGTATTGACGCGAGAGCTTTCGATGACTCACGTGCGACGATTTATACGATTTTTCAGACCGTCGACGTTTAACGACGCTTGTATTTCACATGATTGACGCGCGCATTTCATTATAAATGCTGCATGAAATATTAGACTCTTTTATTCTATGAATGGGGCTCAATCGAAATTATATAAATCTATGCTCGGCTTTCGTGCATTATTTACTTCGACTAATGGCTTGTTTTGTTTTTTCTTTTCTTTCTAAAAGTATCACGATCACCACGCGCCCACCACCTCCAACAACAATACCACCACCACCACCACCACCAACAACAACAAAACCACTACCACAACAACAACAATATCAACAACCATTTTCACCTGCAACTACAACATCCGCCACCACCTCCACTACCACCACCACCACAAACTCCATCATCCAAACAACAACAACAACGCCCGACGACTACGTCTTCGACGACTAACGTCGCCCGAGCTTTTCCAGGCGGAGGAGGCCACAATAATGGTGGCAACGTCAGTGGGGGTGGAGGTGGAGGCGGAGGAAACAGTGATCCCCTGTTCTCGTGCAACTCGGTGGATCACGGTGGTCTCGGCAGTGGAAGTTTGTTGCACTCCATGATACAGTCGGCACCGGCGGTCGGTACATACGTCAATCCCTCGCAGCCGAGATTGCTCGGACCCGGCGAGGCCGTGCCCGGCGTGTTATCGGAGAACAGCAGCATAGTTAATGCCCCCCAGCAGATGCCTATCAGCAGGATGCAGTCCAAGGAGTGGCACAAGAGCGTCACGTTCAACGTTAGAAATCGACTGATTCGCAAAATGTGAGCCTTCGTTTCTCTTTTACAGATAATGCCTTGAATAATTTATTCAACTCTGTATTTTTAGGCTTTTTTGTTGTTATCTTATCGACGTTAAACAAGTTATATCAACTCGAGATACAGTTTATGCCTTTGTTTAGCTAATGTTCTCTCTCGTTCTCTATCTCTGTCTCTTTTTGAGTAATTTGTGCGTCATTGAGACGATTAATGACTTTCTATTATTCCGTTAAAGGGCGCAAATACTTTCCACGACACCGGACACCCAAGGCAACTCGATGGAAGCCCGAATGCACGCGGCCATCTCGATTGCAACGGGCGTCGAAAACGAAACACACAGAGTCGCCAACTCGATGACGCAGTACTACGATCTGATGGCGAAACGATGCCATTATTACCTCCACAAACGTGGAAGTGAGTGATCGCTCGATCATTAACGTCAAGAGCTACCTATCACGTTTTAACGTACCTATAATGACTTTTTTCACTGCAGGTAACACGAACCAACCATCGGTCCAATTTTACGGAGGCGTGCCGGACATTCGTCGCACGTACGAGGCCCTCGGAATCGTCTATCCGGGCAGCCCGACGACGTACTCGAACAACGTGGCGAGCAGCCCGCGCCTGCACGGCTCCGAGGCACCACCGCCTCCGCCGCCGCCCGGTGTCGTGCCTGTCATTACCAGCGTGCCTTACTGCACGTATAGCAGAACGACGACGTTACAGCAGGCTAATCACAATCAACAACTATTAGGTATATCGCTAATACAAATCTCACATAGAAATACATCTGTCTGCTGATGCTGCCTCTTCTTCTTCTTCTTCTTCTTCTTCTGCTGTCGATCGAGTTTCCAAAACAAGTGTGCTTAGAGCAATTCGGGACTCACGCGCGTGCGAATTCGTTGTTGACAAATAAATAAAGCCTTGCCAGATGAGTGTGTCTCTTTGCGTAATAGTTTTGCGCCAATACAACACTGAATAGTGTAGTTCTTGAATTTGTCTAATCGACCATCGTTGAGATATTTCGTGTTCGTCGAAAGTAGTTGAACAGATATTGAAATCAAAAATGAGATCGAGTCGAAGCACAAGACTCCAGAAGCAAACGCGAAGTAGATCGCGGTCTCGACAATCTCGACGGCGATCATCCTCCACAAGTGATCGAGAAATAACTGAGTTATGTAGACGATTGCAACAAGCAGCCGAACCATGTTCCCGAATCATTATTACTGCAGACGATGAAACAGACGCAAGACCCGTACGTCCTGTACGACCGGACAATAGTGTTAACACAGTCGGCTCCATCACCATCCCTAGGTCGAGTTCACCATGCCTCGTGAACCCGATTCCTAGGCGCGCGATACCTATACTTAGACTGCCACCCGATACAGTGTGCTTCCCAATTTCGGATGAGTATAGGCCACCGCCCAGGACGAGTACTTCGCCATCTTTAGTAAATATTATACCGATACCTTCGATATATATTGTACAAAAAGTGACGCCCAACACTAATCGGTCATCTATGGCGCGTTCGTCGCAGCACAGTGTGCCATTCGCAAATGGGCCGAGCTCGAGGTCTTCTTCTTCGTCCTCTTCTGATTCAAGGACCCTTCGTCCCGCTTCTTCCCGACGATTTGCACCGTATGAAGTACTTTCTAGACCATCTTCACAATCCGTTGCCGTCGATCTTGTGTCTCCTCCATACGTAGAACCGCGAAGACAATCCTCGAATTTCCCTGGCTATAATGCGTCTGCAACGTCTACTTGCTATCCTATGTTGAGACGTGTCCGTACGAACGATATTTCAGAACTCGTCCAAAATTTCCATGACTTAAGAACGGAAATACCACCGTCTAATAGTAGGAAGCTTATTTAATGAATGTGACATATAACTTGAAACATTGTTTTCATAAATACGGTCGTTTTTTTTTGTTTTTTTAGATCGCTTCTTGCAAAGCACAGTTGCAAATGCAATACAATTGGAAGTTCCTGGAAATTCCTCCAATACGGCACCGGAATCGATAAAAAATTTAGCTCACTCGTTTAAGTGCCAGCAGCGCGAGAACCAGGAGAACGACGTGCTGCTCCTGTGCACGTTGCCTTTTTGTCGTGAAACTAAAAATCTTATTACTCACATGTCAACGTGTCAGAGCACCGGATGCAATGTGTGTCAAGTGCCGGGCAAAGAGATTGTTAATCACTGGAGAGATTGTCGCGTAGTGGATGATTGCCCAGTGTGTTTACCAATAAGACAGGCCGAAATAAATTTGAATCAGTCACTTTGTAAGTTGACAAAAAAAAAAAAAAAAACACGTGTGCATTACGATGGATGCCGGATCGATTGAGAGATGAGATTTGAAATTGGAAAATTCAGTTCGGGTTTAGGCAGGCGACAATGCGCTGTTTTAACCAAGTGTTGACCAAGAACCAACAGAGAACACGAATTAACTTTTTTTTCATGTACCATACTCACTCGTTCTGGCAATTTAAACGTATTGATATTTTTATCGAATTGGTCCAGAAAATTTTGGAAACTAATGATTATTTGTATGCTTTCGTATGCTTGAACTTGTAGCAGCTCCACCGCCGATCTCGAACGGCCCGAGCATGAATCCAGCGCCGACGTTCCTGAGGCGTCCACACCATCGCAGCTCGGCGAACGCACCACCGTTCCCGTCCACGCACACGGCCACGTCGGGCCTCTTGACGAATCAAGTGCCGGGCGCGAACCAGGCTCCGCGCAACGATCGGATCTCGTCGCGCTCGTCGATGTGGCACCCGAATTATCCGGAGAATCCACCGCCTTGGCGCGCGTCCGCCGGCCCCAGCACCGACGACTCGCTCAACACCGTGAATCGTCGCTCGACGGCGCGCTACAACTGGTACCCGAACAACGGCCGCAACTTCAGAATGGAGAGGCGAGCCCCGTACCCCACGAATCCCTGGAGCCAGCAGGACGTCCTGTACATCCGAGAGAGTGGACCCAGTACCAGCGGCATGCAGCAGCAGCCGCATCAGCACAGCTCGCGATCGATGTTCGGCAACAGCGTCGGCAGCGGTCGCAGCAACGAGAGGGCACAGGCGCCTTACATGTCGCCCTGGCGCAACGCCTCTCCCGATTTGTACACGTTGGTCCACGGTAGAGCTCAAGTACCCGAACCAATAGCAGGTACTGTTTTCGACTCCCTTCTGTCGATAGTTAATCCAATCCTTTATCTACCTTGGGACCATTGGGCATTATTTTCATCTCATCAAATCATCTTTGAATTATATTTTAACCTGCATGCTTTGAGATTATTCAACGAATTACATAATTTCGCCTTTCATTTAATGTCAAGTTACAACTTATTGATTTTTATTAATTTTACCTCAAGATTTGAAACAGCTTTTATTTCATGGACAAAATTCGTTTGTTTTATAAATTTTTAAAAATCACAAGAGTAGTGTAAAATGTGTCAGCGTTTAGTATTCTTAACGTGCATGTTCAAAATATTCACTAACATAGAAGCTATCATCATGGGTGACGGTCATATTAATAACATTTTCCTCTATAGCAAATTCATTTGCCATAATGAATATGCTAACTGATTTTCTTGCAGATTCAGATGAACCAGTCATTGTTCCAGATGTAGAACCCGCAATAACCGAAGTACAGCTGTTCCAGGTAAGAAAAGAACGACAAGGATTATTAGGATCATTCATCGATCCGGAATTTGACACTGTAATAAATCAATAAATCAATTTGCAGGCTATGATGAAGGTAATCAGGACGAACGGCTGTCGTTTGGAGCAAAAGTTCCGATGCCCCACTCGTCCATGCGAAGGCCCATGCATTCATCGACGTCTAGCCTCATCGATTCGAAGTCACAAAACGCCCATTCCCGCATGATCTGGCTATCCAGCATCATCAACAACGGCAGCATTTTTGCTGTCTCGCTATCGCACGTTCCTTATCATTAGCATCAATATCCTCACCAATGTTATTCGTATCATAGATCTAGTTTATTTTCAAAGTGAGTTATATTTTTATACGCGTCAAGAGACGACGATTGCGACGAAAGCGAACTACCAAATGTGTCGTATGTTACTATAAGCGTTTACTGTTCTTTTTTCTTATTTCTTACCAGAAATATTTTGAATGAGTCGAAAGGTTTACGCAAAATCAACTCATATTCATACTTTTCGTTCTAATGCCTATATTGGTATTAGAAAAAAAGATTTTCATAAATTTAAATATTTTTCATGTTCCATTACTACAAATAATAACAAAAAACACCATCGCTGATAATGTAAATTTACTGTAGATGATCATTTAATATCGATGACTATTAAATGATATCTAACCAGATTGTAGATATAAATTTCATTGATCTTGTTTTTATTTTATTATTTAATTATAGTTTACGAATATACATTTGGAAAAAATTGATAAAAGAAATTTTAAAAAACTATAACAGTTTTTTTATAAAAATGCGACGGCCTCGGGTACATCGTTAAAAAGTTGAGTTAATTTGTTGATAGTTTTAAAAGTGTAATTGTGATCTTTAAACGAATATCCTATTTCGTTTTGTTACTGATTAATTTGTTTTTAATGATTCTTACTTTTGTTGTATCTCTCTTGAGCATTGTAAAAAATACAATGTTATTTTTATGCCAGTTCATACGAAAAAATGAACAACAAATAATTCGGATCATAAAATCTGATGCATTGATGTTTATGATGGAAATTGTATAATTTATCTTAGTTTTTAACGTGAAATATTTACCATTGGTTAACTTTACAATCGTTGGTTTACAATTTTTTAAAAGGTTGGTTGATAGTATCCTAATGTATTATTAAAAAATTATTTTAAATTTATAAAAAATAAACTTTGTAGTAATTTGGATATTATTCACTAAAGTTGAGAATGAAAAATTCCTTTAGCACAAAGTAAACTGTTATTGATAATTTGAAATAATGATTTTTATTATAAATTCTTTGTATCTTATACTTTTATATAGTTTTTAGTGACGAGGCCGTTGTGTCAATTTAAGATTGTCGAATAAATGATTGAAAGAATCGTTGGAGGCAAGACGTTTACTTATTTTTGACTGCAAGAAACTTAAACGGATGTTTTATAATGCAATAATTTAACGATATTGAAAAAGTGCTCGGAACTTCCGCTTAGTTTCGAATGCAAAGTAATTTGGTTTTTTGGGTGTATGAATATGACTCGCTATTTGGTAGTTTTTTAATCGTTAATTTCTTTCTGTCGTCGCAGTTGAGAACTGTTAATTACCTTACCTAAATATATTTCAATGTGTAAAAATGATTTTTCGTAATATCGGTATAAGTTCGAAATTAAGAGATCGATTACAATTAATACACCTAAGAAAAGGCACATTTTTCACCAATGATACATATAAAAATACATATATTTTACAATATTATTCATTGAGAATCGCAACTCGTATCGCAAATCGTCAATTAAGGAAATAACAAATAAAGAAACACGTGACTGTTCTAAATTTTTGCGTTTTGACTTAACGAGTATGGAATTTTAGCATAGATAGATATATTATTTAAAAAAAATATGTATATGAACATTTTCGCATTTAAGAAAACAACAAAGCAGAATACGACAATTTGTGATATAAATAATGTTTTTGTAGATATAATGAGCAAAAGAAAATGTTTCACTGAGAAACAGGTTAATAATAATTCTTAGTTTTTGCGTGAGACAAGAAAAAATTATCTCAAAAGTAAATTTTTCGATGAAGCAGATACTTTTTTGCCATATATTATATATACCAATGCAATGATCGAATATGTAATCTTGTAATGTGTCGAAGTTGTATAATCACTGAAACAAATAAAGTGAATCTTGTTTTATGTAAGTGCTTGAACGAATGATCGAATTCAATAAATAGAAAAATTGTCGGAACTGTCAAACGCTCAAATTGACTTTCAGCAACTATCACACATCAAATACGAAAACATTCGATGAAACGAAACTCAATCGCGGATAAACGATTTTGAAAATCAAGACATCTCGGTTGAGTAAACCGTGTGTCAGTTCAACGTAAAACGTGCAATATATGTAAATTGATCGGCAATTGCGAAGCGATCGCGTTCCTTCGACCGGTTCATATGTTATAATGATGATTCATTTTTTTTCACTTAAAAAAAAAGGACGTGTACAATTGTGGAATAACCGAATTGCATTTTCACGCGCGAGCATCCAACTCGATGATATTTACAAGATATATATATTATATTATATATAAATATCGTATAAGCCCTGTGGAAGTGATGAGATTATCTTCGAAACGCAGGTAACTGTAAAATATACACTCGTATGTATATATACAATGTACGAAATCGTATATATACACACAAACACACAAAACAAACAAATACACAATGAACTTCTATAAATACATAAATAAAATAAAACTTTGAATCGATTTGCGTTGTTTGTCAAAATTCGAAATCGAATGGAATCATTACGGTACCCCCGCGAAAACACCGAACTCACCGGTACAGTAAGCCATTTGTATACTAGTGCAATGTTCTTTTCACATGACGATTAGAAAAAAATGAATGAATACAAAATAATCGAAGGAAGGTGAAAAAAAAAAGATGGAAACAAAAGGAAAATGTGTTAGCTGGCATACTCATGCTCACCATTACAATTGAACTATCTCTCTTTTACTCGATGACGCATAATAATGTCTTTGTGTATAAAAATGTATCCATAAATAACTTAACGAATAAAAAGTAATTCACTAGTTTTTACATGCATTCTAGATGAAAATATTTATTGCTACAATCACTCCCATCCTTTTACGTCGTACCTGCACACGATCGATCAGCGCCTTTTAACGAAATCGGCGGGCGAATTGCAGCAGGCGCGATCTCGCGTATCGTTGCGATACCTATACATTGGCTTTGAAATTTCGGCCGCTGACTTATCTCTCTCTCTCGGCTGCGCGCATTGCAATGTGCAGCCCAGTCAAAAAACCCGGGGAAATGCGAGCGAGAGAGAAAGAGAGATGGAACGAAACGCGCAGCGGCGATTTATCGCAGGCATTTGATAATGATTGATAAGGAAGAGAGACGACGGTAGAGGAGGGTCAAGGGTCGTCGGTGGCTATCTCCGCCAGCCGTGCGCAAAATATGCACACGTACAGACGCACGACTGCAGTCGCGGAGAGTTTTTATATCATTATTAAGTTGCTGCGAGCCGCAGAGTTGGTCTTGCCGGATTAAGAAAGTACGGTATATCCCGTGGATGCAGCAGCAGCGGCTTCAGCTATGTCGACCGACTCGATCGTGCACCAGCAGATTCGACGAACGTAGAGGAAGAAAGAAAAAGAGAGAGAGTCGAGTGTCCGCAATATAGGATCGAGATGACGCGGGATAATACATCGTATTGGCGCAGCTGTCTCGGCTGGCTCGGCTGTCTCGTCGATCCTTTGTTGGCCATACTTCTCACTTCTGTCCTGCTGCCCAGTCTGCTACTGAGCTATCCAGGTTAGCAAAAACTTTGCGGCTTATTACGAACGCTGTGGAAAATAACCGACGATGAGTCGCCTCGCCGATCATTCTCGACGACTCCCGGTTTCAGATTATACAGTATACATACGTTTTATCGCTGTCTCGAGCTTTAGCCAATCGATAAATTTTTAATTCAATTATTATGGCTTGAGCGCGATCAGCTCGTGATTTTATTCGGTGCGCAATTGTGCGTGCTCGGGTTTATTGTTATGATGATATCGTTGATTGTGTGCCACAGTATGTCAATGGTGTCGGCGCTTCTGGGTGCGCTTCGTCAAATGGAGGTATCCCCAGTGTATCGTCGTCGAGGAGAGCAGCACGCGCAGCATTCTGGACCAGGGTAGAAATCAAGTAACGTTACCGATCTCATTGCCTCGCTTAAAAATATAAATAATCGACCGTTACCGATTTTCACTTCCAAAACTCAAGATGCTCATTTGAAAAATCCTATATTCAAGTACGTTATTTCTCGAAGGGAATCTACACTCTTCTGGTCGAGTGCCCGAGCATCGTGACGGAACACCTGCGCAATCACCTGATACACCTGTCGTCGGGCAAGCAACTGCTGCGCATGGCCCTGACGACCAAGTGCTGCCTCTACGCCTGGCAGAGGATCGACGACTTTTCCATCGACAATCACCTGATCGTTTCGCCGAGCTCGTACAAAGGCAGACCTATCGGCGAGGCCAACATTCAGGTTCGGATCATCATGCCTATGTAGTCGATTCTGATCGCGCGAGTCGTTCTCGTTGTTGTTGTTGATTTCTGCAGGAGTACGTGAGCGACGTGACGTCCAAGTACTTGCCGACTGGTCACTCGCCGTGGCAAGTGCACGTGCTCAACGGTGGCCAGGCCACTCGGGGATCCTCTTCATCTTTTCAACAGGCTTCCTCGCCACCGCCGCAGCAGCAGCAGCAACAGCAGCAACAAGTCTGCCGATTTCTCGTGCGGGTGCATCACCTGCTGCTGCGTCAGGAGAAACTCTGCCTCGGTGACTTTCTGCCCCTGAAACCGAGTCAGTGGCCGCCAGCCACCACGACCGACGACGAAGATGCCGGCCCGAGTAGCAGTCGACTGCTGATGGCCAACCAAGCGTCCGTAGGCGGTGGCGGCCAGCAGCAAAGGCTCATGCTCAAGCCCCCGAACGCGCTGCCCTCGCCCTTCGCGAATCTGTACAGCGAGCCGCAGGCCCTGCCGCGACTGCACCAGAAGCTCACGGAGAGCTTCAGCAACGTCTGGAACGAGTTTCTCTGCAACAACGACCCGACCGAGCGGCCCGAGATACTGAAGAAGAGGATCGGCGTGTGGCAGTGCTCCAAGATTGCCGTCATCGTCTGCTTCAGCACGGCCAAGGAGATCAAGAGGTCAGTTGGCTTCTCTCGTCTCAAACTTATTTTAATGTAACATTCGATATTATTTTAATGCAAAAGTGAACGTAAAGGATTTGGTTCCTCTATTACCGTTTGAATGATAATTTATTTTTTACATTAATTGCTTTATAAAGCCAGCTTCTTCAAAACTCTTTTTAACAAAATTTCACAAAAGTTCTTCATACGTAAGGTTTTTACGTTACATTACGCGTTTATAGTAGCTCATAATTTAAATCTGCCTCCGCCACTAGATGGCGAGTATCTTGATCTGCAAATCTGCAAGTGGTAAAGTCATAATACTTGTATAAGTCAATGCCCACTTTTCACATTTATGATCCAGAAATAGTTTTTATTATTGTGTTTTTATGAAATATTAAATGCATTGAAAATTGCATATGCCCCTGACCTTTTGTATCGATCGTAACCGAGGTAATAATACTTTCATTCGGGTTATCATTATTGTTCCTCGAGAACGCCCTGAGCAGGCAGTACCACCGCAAGGAAGGGCCGAGCGTGCTGGCGAGCCTGTGGCCGGCCTACAAGCGAGAGGCGCGCAAGCGCAACTTCACCCTGGGCCTCGTGCTCCAGGCCATGCTTAACCTGCTGAATCCCGCCCAGAGTCTGCGCAGCGGCTGCGCCTGGCTCTGGTATCTGCTCATCGTGCTGAGCCTCAAAGCGCCGATCTTGCTCTGGCGGGAGCTGCGTGCGGCGAGTCTGCTCTACGACCAGCAGCACTACTATCCGGACAGTCTGGTGGCGGATCTGGCGGTCTATCTGCCGCTTCTCTTCAATGTGAGTTATAAGGCCCGAATGAAATCGTTAACCCAAAACTTCGTCATTCGTGTGATGATAAATTACGCAGGCCGTCGTGGAGGTACTGTCGATCCTCGGCATGATCTTGAGCGCGCCGTTCGTCGTGTTCGAGGAGCTGCTGCGCAGCGGCCGATCGTCGGCCCAGTTGCGCACCGCCTCCCAAACCGGTCGCAAGGTCGTCGCCTGGTCCGACGAGATAGAGCTCGATCTGCTCGAGAGGATCGCCGGTGTCAGCGGAGCCAGCGACGCCGAGATCCTCTTGGCCGGCGCCGTCGATTCGCTCAAGGAGTACTTCAAGTGTTCCGGCCAGCAGATACCCGACGAGATCCTCGCCACGGCCAAGTTCACGAGTCAGCGAGCTCTCTACGTGAGCGACCGCGAGCCCAAGGGTCTGCTCTGTCTGGCCCTGCCCACGACCACGCCCAACTTCGAGGACGACCTCGTGGACATACTGCAGGCGGTGCAGAGCGAGGTGGCCGAGGCACGATCCCGGCAGCGGGCCCTCTACGCCATAACTCAGGCAGAGACGGCCTCGGGCGTGCTCACCTCCTGTCTGCCCTCGATCATTCTCAAGGTCGTGCTGAATCAGTTGACGAGACGCTACTCGATCTCGGTGACGCACGTCGACGGCGATCTGCCCGTCGAAGGCATACAGTCGGCTGTTTTCTGGAAGCCGCCACAGGGCAATCTCAGTGAGTATACGACATTTCAAAATATACTTTCGAAGCTGACCGAAAACAATTCTTTGCTCTACAGATCTGTCGATGAGCCTGCACAGGCACGGACGCGGGGTACGCCTGGGCGTCATGGGTGACGCCATGATCGGGCCCCAGCACGCGGCCATCACCCGAGCTTTTCCACGCAGTCTCAAGCGCCTCGCTCGTACCCTCGGCGTCGAGGCCAGCGCGAGGGATCGTCTTCGTTTTCAGCAGCAACAGCAGCAACAGCAGCCACCATCTAATCCGATTAGCTGAGGCATCGGGGATGCGACTGAGCGCGTGTGTGTATGTGCACGAGTGCAGCTATAATACGGCAACGCAGCAGCAGCAGCACCCTGTGAAGGAGCGATGACCCCGTATATACCAACACACGACAATTTAGCCATGCTAGCTAGCTTCTATTCGCGCGTATATATATAATAATATTGATCTGTTTTCGCTTCTCGTTTTTCCCTTTTATGTGCTGCTGCTGTATAGCACATATAAGTATAGATAGTACCCTATAGGGGAGAGAGAGCTTAACGCGATGCCTCGATGCGCACGCTGCCTTCCGTGCCTGTGCCTGCACCGATGCTTACACACATACGCGCGCACACATTTTCTGTCCCCAAGCTGTGACGCGCCTATCTATACGATTCCCCGTGTGTCGTTAAAGAGATCGTTTCAATTTTTATCAGTAAAGAACATATTTTTAGAGCCACGCAGCAGCAGCAGCTACACCATCGACGCCCCCGATCGATCGTTTTTGGGCGGCGACCAACCCCGCTACTAACGCCGCGTGCGAATCTAATGTTTACTTACTTGAACAATAATTGTAGACCCTTTTATTCATGTTATGTATGCGTATTGGTAAGGCTAGTGATAAATGATTACTTTTAGCTCATGCAAGATTAAAATTGTCTGGATTATATTTTTGGATTGAGGAGATGTTTTTGAGCAGATTTTTAATAAAGAACTTTAATCGTCTAAAGTAATGATCGACCTTTTTTTGAAGGACGCAAAGTAGCTGGTAAAAATTTGAACAAAAGAATGATAAAAAGATAATTAAAACCCTTTTGTTCTTATTTCAGTCATTAAAGCTTCTCGTTGTGTTGTATCCGCATTAAATGTTACATTCACTGCAAAAAATTTGAAATGGAAGGAAAAATACGTTTGAAACCAACAGCTGTGGCCTTACAACAACTGAGCTTCTTGTCTTTTATATCTGTGATGATTTATAGGAAGTGGGTTTTATGAACTATCAGAAAAAAGGATTACACAATTACGACGAAATTTTTTTTTTACAGACGAGTCTCAATGCCATTCGTTTTTGTTTTGTTTTATTGGCGCTCGTTTCATTGTTTTTATTTGCTCACATCGAGTTACAAGTAAATTACGACGATTCTTTTAAGTACACCAGTGGAGTAAGTAATCTAAGAAATGACTACGCGTTCGGTTTTTATTGGCAACGCAACGTTGCCCTGCTGTATACAATAATACATACCGATCTATTAATGATACACACATACAAAGGTAAAAAGTTTTTTATACTGTTTTACTTTCATCGTAGTAGATTTGTATATAATGTCCCCGAGTGGATCAAAACACTCGGTCCTAGTCTGTTTTTTTTTTGTTTTGTTGTCTTGTTTATTAGACTCTGTTACAAATCATCACTGCATTAGTTTGTTTTTTGTTTTATTTTAGAAGATTTACATATTGTTCGAATCATTTGTCAGTTTGCTATTTACAAGTATATAATGATCTTTATACGTAAAGCTACACTTTTACGCTCTTTGCAAAATTGATAATTAATTACGAAATACTGATTTCTTTTTTCTTCAAGAAAATTAACGCCTCTTTTGTCGAATTTCGACACTAAATTTTCAAGTTGTATCGTATACAACAAATTTCGTGTATAAATTAATGAACACAAACAATGTATAATAACATAAAAAAGTTTAGTCTACGAGTGCGGTGGTTTATAAACTCCACCGGTATTACAATTTTCAATGTGTACTTCATTTTTTTTTGTTCAATTTTCTTTTTCTCCATTTTTTTTTTGTTCAAATAAATTCAAGTGTCTCAAAAATTCCCAGGTCACAATGCCGCTATACTTTAAAGTTTGTATACATTTTGCAGTAAGTACAAATTCAATGAACTTCTTTTTTTCAGTAGTTTTGGAAGACTTGAAAATATTATTAGTTCATTTTGCTGAAGGGCGTTTCAACACGCGACCTTCTTCGCGTTACGACAATATTATTCGAGAGAGAGAAACGAAAAATTGCTTCACGAATTTTTCTCACGCGCTCGCGTATATAGAAAAATAAACGGTAAACATAGTTGCCATACATTTGATCGCGAGCTCGTTATGGTCGAGCAGCGCATAATAAGTATCGCCCGCATTTATTAAGTACATCGAGTTCAGGTATAAAGATCAGCACAAATAATGCCACTCGCAATTAAAACTTGAAGATCCCGCGAAAAGCTGGTATATGATAATAATAATGATGAGTGTATACGCCAGGCGCTTAAGCGACGCAATTGTCGCTGCTGTAGGTGTAGCTCTGTCGCTCCTTCTCGCACTCGACCGGGCCGCTGCCCCAGATCTTGCGGTTCTTCGTGTAGGGTATGATGCTCATGAGCATGCCGCTGACGATGATCCAGCCGCCGGCCATGACGAAGCTGAGATCCCACCTGCCGGTCATGTCGAAGATCCAGCCGGCCAGCGGTGGTCCCAGAAGATTGCCGATACCCTGGCAGAGCAGACTGAGGCCGTAGGCCGTGGTGAAGCGCTCGAGGGGGATGATCTCCACGAGGATCACCGGGGTGAAGCTGAAGTTGCTGGCGAAGAACAGGCCGAAGCAGCACGAGGTGACGATCAGGGCGTAATGATTGTGGGTGAAGACCGGCATGAGGATGGTGGAGATGCCGCAGGCGATCAGGCAGCACGTGTACGTCTTGGTGACGTTCATCCAGGGCTGGTCGCCTGCCCAGCCGAGTCCGATCTGAACGTGATAATTAATTAATTAAGCTTTAATGCTTCTTTTACAATTGGGGGCTATTTCAATACTTGCCATGCCAATGGTATTGGTGATGCCGATGTAGCTGAGTAGATTGGCGGCCTTGGACTCGGGATAGCCCTGCCTGGTCAAGTGTTCGGCGAGGTAGAAATAAGGCACGATGAACCAGGTGAAGAGCAGTATTGTCGATAACGAGAGCAGGAGGAAGTGCAGCTCTGAGAACATCGAAAAGTCCATCATGCCCTTGAGCAGATCGACCAGTTCGCTGTACCACTTCTGCGAAGAGAAGAGAATAATGGGTTCAGTTCGTTTTTCATCAAATAGATAAATGGTTTATATGTTAGTTCTTTAATTACCTCCTCGTTCTCGATGGCCAAGGTCGTCATGCTGTTGCGATAGATGTTGGGACAGCTGCTGGCCCTGAGCCGGTACTTGTGCAGATTGAGCACGGCGCCGCGATACATGACCGAGTTACGGTGCACCCTGATGTCCTTGAAGTAGTGCGTGTTGGTGCTGAATTGACGTCGCAGCCAGGGTAGAGAGTCCGTGCGCACGACGCCGTTGCCGCAGCCGGGTACGTGATGCCTCGACGTCGACTTGGCTCGCTCGGCCTCGGCGATCTGTATCACACGAGCAGCCACGAAATTTGTATCATAGCGTCGCCAGTTTTATTTTTATCATTGTGATACTTACGGCTTGAGCGACTTCCTTGGCCAATAAAGGATTCATCTCTTCCAAGTCTTTCCTTGACATTCTACGCGTGGCTAGGACCTTGGACGACGCGTGAATCGAGCCGGCTCTCGATTGAGTCGCAGTTGGTGGTGCTGCTGGTACTGCTGTTGTGGGTGTCTGTGGCTGTGTCTGTGTCTGCGACTGTGGCTGCTGTGGTTGCTGTTGCTGCTGCTGCTGCTTGGTCTTATCCCTTGCTTTTTTCAGCCTAGAGAAACGATTACGAATGAGTTTAATACAAAATTGCTCTGCCGTGTCTAAGGTTGTTGCATGCGTGTTAACGTCAAACCAATACTTTTCAGAAAAAGAATTATAAAGTTAAACAAGTAAAACAGGGTGAATAAATAGAGTTAATAAAATCCAAATCAAAGAAAATACAAAACTGCTACTGTATTAAGGTCGAGGAATGGAAAAGTATCGATTGGATAAAATGTTATAAGCTCGAAAGCGGAAAAAGTAAAGAAAAGAGGGTGCCTAGCTTGCACACGTTAATCGGACCAGTGCTGTAACCTCATGGACATGGTGACGCCGCTCTTGTTGTCCTCGACGTTGGGCCCGTCCAGCTTCTTGTCCGACGAGCTCCGGCAGAGCAGCAGGCTCGGATAGTTCTCCAGTATGACGTTGTAGAGGCGCGAGTTGGACGACAAGGACTCCAAAACTTCCATCGGCACCTGCATAATCATAAATTAATCAAGTCGCGTGTAATAATACCGCATCGCGTATGATAGACAAGGTAATTATCCGATGGACGCGAGCTTGATGGATGTGTGTGCGCCACTTTTAGCCTTGCGATTATCGCTTCGATATTTAGGCGCGCGCGCGAGCTTGAGCTATTACGAGCTCGCACACATTATAATAATGCGGTAAATACACACACACACATTCACATCGTTTGGATAATAGATCCGCGTGTCGGTGCAGCTGACGACGCCAACTTATCGCGTTATTTTCGTTTATACCGCAGTGTTGTAGTATAAGCACTAGTACGGCGCGCGCGATAGGGGCACGAGCTTGCAAGCTCGCCCCCCAAGGTTAAGGTCGCGACCAGACACAAAACTGCTGCAGCGATATTCTTCGCGGTCTCTCTCGCTTTCTCTCGCGCGCGGCGCGGTGCTCCGAGAGCTTAGAAAATCGATAGCGCAGAAGGTTCATTCAGCTAATTGCCGTTGCGCTGCAGCTGCGTTTCAAAGGTATAAGTAGCATAAAGCTCGTTACTATAAACATCGTTTTCCGCGTATACTCGACCTACATCGTAGCACGAGATCGCGTTGCGTACGTACCTTCTCGCTCTGCTTCACGAAAGTCGGCAGATTGACGACGCTCCTGAAGGCCGCCGGATTGCCGCCACCAGTGATCCTCGCCTCGGTGCTCGTCCTCAGGTTCTGCAGCAGATACTCGGGCGCCTGTCCGCTCTTCATCAGCCGGCGCAGCTCGTCCACGCCGGGGAAGTCCTCGGCGGGATCGCAGGGACTGGCCCGGCTGCGATCGGCAATCTCGCTGCCGCCGTCTCGGCCCTTCCGCGGCGACGACTGCAGCTGGTGCTGCTGCCTCTGCTCCTGCACCCACCACTCGGGGTCGCGCATCACCGTGCCACAGACGATCATGTTGAAGAAGGTGCCCGCGAGGAGGAGCACGCAGCCGCGCCAGCCGTACTCCTCGATGAAGAACGTGGTCATGGGGGCGTAAACGAATGTACCGATACCAGTGCCGCAAGCACCCAAGCCCACGGCCAGGGTGCGCTTCTTGTCGAACCAGAAGGCGATGCTCACGACCGCGGTGACGTAGCACAGTCCCAGACCCAGGCCCGCGATCACGCCGAAGGTCATGTACATGACGACGATGGAGCGCGCGTACGAGCTCAGGACGAAGCCGGTGCCGGCGATGAGGCCCCCGCAGATGGTCATGCGACGACAGCCGTAGCGATCGACGAGGGCCGACATCACCGGGCCGGATAAAAGGGGCACGGCCATGAAGAGCGAGCCGATCCACGCCGTGGTGGACTTGCTCGCCTCGAACTCGTGTAAAAATTCGATGTAGAGCAGGCCGAAGCTGAAGGAGACGCCGTCGGCGATCATGGAGATGACGAGGGAGGAGAGCACGACGATCCAGCCCCAGCCGCCGTCGGGGATACGGGGCTTCTTCTTCTTGCCACCCTTGCCGCCGTCGGCTCTCGACACCTCGTCGTCCTCCTCTTCGTCGTAGACCTCGAGCATGGTGCTGGAGCCGTCGATCGAGTCCTTCTCGAAACTCGCCAGTCGGCTCTTCTCCAGCCTCTCCAGGTCGGTGGCGGCCCTCGAGTCCGCGGACTCGGAGTACTGGCGCTTCAGCAGTATGCCCTGCTGCGGTGAGCTTTGCTGCACCGGCCTATTGTCCAAATTCAAGTCTAATTTACGATTGACGTTCCGATTGGTCGTCGTCGGGCTGGTCAAAGTTTCTTCGCTGATGGACGAGCGTCGCCTCTTATTGAGCTCGAACTCCTGCTCGGAGCCCGGGCTCGAGGTCGTCAGCGACAGATCCGCGTCCTGGGAGAAGGACTCGAGGCTCTTGTCGATGGTGAGGCCAGGGGTCGAGGGCACCGCGCGCTCGTCCGCGATACTGCTCAAGTTCTCCGTGTTGTCGTCGTCCTCCTCGTCCTCGTCGTCCCTGCCGATGCCCGAGCTCTCCGACGGCGTCTCCATTAGTTTCTTCGCTTGCTGTTGCTGTACTTGCTGCTGTGGTCTGTTGTTGTCCTCCGGCGAGCTGGGTAATACGGTCGGGCTGCCGTTCTGCCAGCCGACCAAGGGCGCCGGGCCCTTTTTCTCGACCCCAACGGGGACGGCGGACTCATCGTAATCGGCGTAAGCCGTGTCCTTGGAGTAATCTACGAATCTCTGGTAGTTACTGTTGTCCTTTTTGGCGTAGATGCCCTCCTTCTTCTTAGGTGGCGACTGCACCGATTGCTGCTGCTGCTGCTCGCTACTCGCCGCCGACTGCAGGTTATTATTGTTCGAGGCGGCTTTGTTCAGAGCCTGGCGTTCGGTCACGCTGTCGCGCAAAAAGTTCCGATTTCTGTCAGCCATGACTCAGCTCCGACTTCCTCCTATACACGCGGTATTAATTTCCAGAAGAGGGGGGGAAGGGAAGCTGCGCGCAAGCTTTGCCAAGTGCTCGTCTTCTAAATGTACGTATTGCTGGTGGACGACTGACTCCAGCGTCGGGGCCAGCCCTTCAGCCCTTGAATCTCGCCGGGTGAATCGCCGCTCGGTCGACCCTCACCTACCATAAGGACCGAGTTGGGTGGATACTCGCGGAGTCGAAGTTTCTTGCTCTTGCGCAACAGGCACGACGTCGTCTGTCGTCGCTCACTCTTCAACATGCAAGCCGAGGACACTGCCGAGGTCTGCAATGAAAAATGTTCGTACGTTAATATCGATGCGCATCGCTTCATATGAAAAACTCGATGAATTTACATATAGCCTTATATCGTGCGTGCAAAAAAAGCTTAATATTTTTCTCGTAAAATGTTATTGTCAAAAAAAAACGAGTCACTCGTAGCCGTGGCTGCGGGAGGTCGACTCGGTACTTACCCTCGACCCTCGAGTTATGAGCTTCGCTGCAAAGGCCATTGCTGCATTATGCAAGCCGCACGTTTATCCAAAAAAGTACATTACTTGGCGATACAATGCCTGCGCGCAGCATTGGCCTTTTGCAAACGAGTCCTTTGGCGATATACGTGACAGAGGAATGGAAAAATAAAATGTGCTACTCACCCATTATTGCGTGTGCAGTTATACAAGTCTACGAGTAGGTACATAAATGTTGTTTTATAATTATAATGCGCTCGCAATCACATAGTGTATAAGTACATGACGTTCGTCGTGTGTGTTGAAGTCGGGTGCGTGTAATATTACACGGTGATCGACGAGAGTGGGTGTAGAAAAGTGCGTGCGTCAATCGACAGGTACGTGAGCATATTTTTATTTTATATTAAAACAGTGCAAACAAAATCGTGCTGGGCATGGTAGTGGTGCATTCGAAATACTCAAGATCAAATCGCTAATGCTAAATAGAGTCAAGTAACATGAAGCGAAAAAAAAGATTATAGAAAGTAAGATGTAGTAAATTGATCAAAAATACATATAGAAATATAGTTGTATTATGTACAAAGAGTATGAAAAATGTTAAAAAATTATATAGCTGAAAATAAATCAGATAATAGAGAGAAAAGAAAAGAAATTAAAACACTGCAAACAGAAAAAATCGAGATCAGTGCAAAATTATATGGTGAAAATAAAATAAAATACGATAGTTCTAGATCTACGAAGCTTGTAATTTCTAGTTTCTAATAGTAGCAGAGTGTCGTTATGTTTTTTTTTGTATTAAGTGTAGCAATATAGAAGAATAAATCGGTAAAAGCACATTCAGTTAGTTGGAGTTAATGTTAAATATAATCAAACATTTTTTTGCAAGCTCTGTATAGGCAAATCATGCGTCGAACGTGGCAAACGTTGCACGTGAGTTAAAACGAGTTGCTCGACCCGCATAGAGTAACTGCCTGAGCTAATTCTAAAATTCACAGGTACAGGCCGCGATAGGCTGATTTCGCAATTGTTTGCATGCCGCAGGCTCGGAACTGAGGATCGCTTTAGAGTTGCCTGCACGAACGACACGTGTCCTCGAGCGCGTTAAAAAAAAACTTAAACTAAATATACAGTTGATGGTAGCCGATTATTGAATTAAAAAGCTGCAAAGGACTATGTTTTTCGGAGGTAATTATTGAGATTATATTTTGGAGGCGATCGTTTTGATGATTACCAATAAGTGTAGCATGTTAACGACATATTAATTGAATAGCAAACGCATGTAACGGGTTTACGGTGCTGTGCGATGGGGCGCGACGTAATACGTACGGTACGCGGTGTGCCTTCGAGCTCGCGAGCTTGCGGGGCTGTGCTCTGGAAAATCGGGTCAGTGGTTCATCGATCGACTTCCTTGCGCTCGCCGTACGTCGAGCTATGACGTCAACGGTCCTCGCTCGTGACGTTGCCTCGCGCGCACATACATAACACACGGAGCTATGTATCGCGTCGTCGTGTGTATAGCTGCTGCAAACTCGGTAGTGGCGGCGGCGGCCGAGTGCAATTGTGGGTGGTGCAGCAGCAGCCAGTCGCCGCCGCCGCCACCGCCTCATCGAGTCTACGTCTACATAGAGAAAGAGCAAAAGAGAGGACGAAGAAAGAAGCAACGAAACTCTGTGTGCTGTGCAACATGAATGGAGCAAGGTTGAGACGACGACGACGACGACTACAAGAGCAGAAAAGCTCGAAGATGCGAAGTTCGCCTGGCCTCGCGATTGCCATCGTGCCAGCACGAGCTTATATACATGGCAGCCACCCCCGTGCCCGGTACCGTCGTGCGTCGCTCGCGCCTTAAATTCCTATCGCGTCGAGCGAGCTGTCGTGTCAAGGTTTCGTTCGGGCTAGCACAGCTCTCTCTCTCTCTCTCGCGCGGACCGCCCTCGACACCTTGCCATCTCGCACTGTAGCAGCGTATCGCGCGGATATATCGCGCTAATCGATCCGACGTAAGCGACAATGCGCCATCGCTTCGTCCTTAATTCGTTTTTGACAGCGCGTTACACGCGATATGGCTAAAAATTATTCGTACGGTACAAATTTTGTAGCGAAGGGTCGCGATTGCCCTGAGGCAGAAAGTGAAAGAGTCAAATCAGGCCATCGCACCCTCCGACCACACATTCGTTTCGTATATAACGTATAGATTCGCGGACTCGCCTCGGCCTCGGTTACTTCTATACCTACGTCACGGGCTTTCTCTCTCTCTCTCTCTCTATATCCAGCACTGTCTCTCGGTAACCCGCGCGTACAACGTACTCCAGAGCGAGCTTACGGAATGACGTAGGCGGCGACGACGGAGGCGGTATATGTGTGTGTGTGCATGCCCAAGGGACGCGGGGGATACTGGAGCGCTGCATCGCAGGCCGAGAGATAAATAATGAGCGCCTCTGCGCGTCTCGATTCGTGCAGTTCGGCTCCCAAGTATATACGTATTATGGTATAGTATTAGTTGCCCAAGAAGTACTACGCGCGTACATCGATCATGTTACACACGTACACAGACGTAGGTACTATACCTACAGAGGTAAGGTAACAGCTGTATTGGTCGTTGCCGTGGCGACACGGCCCTATTATACGATTGCCCGCGCGGTCGATTTTTCCCCATTCGAATGGGTACGACGTGAGCACAGGACGTGAACCGCTCCGTACCGTAGTAGTATAAGCTCTATTATATCCAGCGAGACAAGAGCTAATTGCTCTAAGGCTATACCTATTCGGTCTCGGCTCTCGCGTTTGTGTGTGGATATAATTGCACGAATCACACTCGCCGAAAGCTCGTCGCAGCCTTTGTCCGTCTCGCTTACTCCCGTTGTACAAGAGGATATACGATATGTCTCGTGGACTAGCTTCGAGTCCAGATGCGTGTTTGTCGTTCTTGAGAATATTGCAGCTTTGCTTCGAGCAGACTAGTTCGTTCAACGCAAATATAAGATACGTCGAGTGTTGTTTCGCGCGATAACGCGCTGTATATCTATAATGAGAAACGCATCGGGAAATAATTTGGCATCGACGATGACGCGCGCGCACGTATGTATCTACCTGCACACACACACACACACACACGCACACATACAGCAATTCTCGAGTTGACTCGAGCCTCGCCGCGTTCGCGACTCGACTGGCATTTGGATGTCAAGGCTGTATATAGTAAGTCGATTACGAACCGACCACGTACGTTGACTGCTCGCGCGATTAAGCGACTTTCGTTATATTATTACAGTAATATTATTTTTCTCTTCTACGCACTTTCACGTTGAGCTCGAACTAGTGAGAAAAAATAAGAAGAAAATATAGGCGAAAAAAAAGTCAATATCAATGTAGAGAGCGAGAGACGCATATAGAACCACGAGTGTGCGTATGTAGTATAATGTTGCAGAGGTTGGCTTTCGCGTTATAACGTATAATAAATCTATCGAGCTGTTGCTTGCTTTTTCGCGCGCCTCCTCGAGTACATTATTATATGCGTGCATGTATATGAAACGAAAACAGGCGGCTCCGTGTGACTCGGTGGCGCCTTGACGAGCTCAGGATTGTGATTTATTGTAAGCTCTTTTTCTTATCGCGTCTCGCACGACTCTCCATCGTCGTACGTGTTCGCGCGAGGGAGCTTTTTTTTCAATCGAGCCCAGATCGAGAGAGATGAAAGACGCGCGACGTAATCATTAAAAAAAAAATCATAAATTCACCAGTCCTTGTTGCGTGTGCGTATGGTGGAGTGGTAAAAGTCAATATTAGTCAGACTCGCGAGGCCTAGATCAGCGCGATTTCGCCCACTAATTTAAGTCAGAGAAAAGGGTGAAACGAAGGAAGTACGCACGAGCGATGAAATACGAGGAGAGAGAGCAAAGCCGATCACAGCTAGGCGATGCCAGTGCAGCGGGCAATCATATACGCGTGTACGCCCCATTACCGCACAAAGGTCAGAAAAATAAATATGACTCGAGCCGCGAGCTTGCGAAAATTGCGGTTCAAAGGCGATTATAGGTGTATTAAAATTACGTAAAGATCGTCGAAAGTTGGCTCGAAGGCGACGTTCCAATATGTTTTGGACGCGTCGTCGCGACACACGGGCACTCGATATAATAATAATGAACGTATAAATATATGTAGCAGTGCAGATACGATCGTACATGCATAGTCGAGTATCGCGGCGCGACGAATTAATGAAACGCGTCTACACATTTATAAATATACAGGCAGCTATACGTATCGAATCGCCCGACTGGCCGAGTAATCGTGATGATTTTCGCTCGATGATGCGCGCGCGCGCGGCTATCTGATCGCTACGTTATCGCGCGCGCGAATTTCAAAAAAGTTCAACTGGCGCCCGAGTGATACCCGCACAAACACGCACACACAATAAACGCTCAACTCGAGTAGTCGCGATTAAATATTGCGTAAGGAATTGTTGAATCGCTACTCTTTTGTAGTTCCAATCGAAGTCAACAATTGCCGATTATATACATGTGCTGCTACTCGTCACCTGCGTGTACAATGTACGCAGCGGTCCGATCGATAAACAACTGACACGGGGCCACGGGGCTAGGCTATGAGGCCTAAAGTAGAGTCGAATCGGGCCAATCGAGCGTGTGATACAAGTTCGCACGGCGCGATGAAAGAAAGCAGATTTAGCGGATTAAAGCTCGCCGTCACACAGCCTACACATACGATACACGCAGAACAATTTTGAGACGAGAAAAGCTCCCTGCACCGGGCGTACACCGCACAAGCAAATCGGCAACCGTTTTTCCCGATATAGCTCGAATATAAACTTGATATTGGCAGACCTCTTCATTTCGCCTCTCTCGTATCTCGTGTGCGTGTTATATCCAAAAATATCCCCAACTGAGAGCCGACGATAGAGTGCAGAGTAGAGCAGTAGAGTAGTGTGTCCAGAAAAATTTGCAGCAGAGACGACGGCGAGAACTTGAGAGTCGAGAGAGATCAGACTCGCTGCTGTTGGTGCGTCGGTCTGCTCGGCTGCGGCTGCTGCTGCTCTATTGCCATCGCTTCTGGTTCACTTATACTTTCTGGCTGCATATCGCATGTATAGCGGTTCTCTCTCTCTCTCTGTCTGTGTTTAAGTGTGCGAGCAAGTATATGTGTAAAATAATGTATCGATGCAGGTAATACACGCACACATGCATTTGTCAAATTGTGCTTGTGAGAGCTCTTAGTAGTAGAGGGCAAGGACGGCGCGCGCCGCGCTAACATATAATGTACACGTGCTCTCTCTTTCTCTCTCTCTCTCTCTCTCTTTCGTTCTCAGCTTCGCAGCAGCAGAAACAGCAACATTATAAGCGGTGTGCAGTCTTGGATGGCTTTATCAATACAGTCAAACACACACACATCACACAATATGCTGGCTAATGAGAATATATTTTAGTGGCTTTTAACTAACTGTAAGTACAGCTATATAAATATTTCTGCAATGCCTGATGCCTCGTTCATATAGCCGCATTACATTATGCGAGTGCGTCGAGAATGAGAGCGTGCGATTTCGAGGTAGTGCGTTCCGTGGCCAGAGGCTAATTATCGCATCGTCAACGACGAGCGACGAACGACGATGACGCACTCCGATTTCCGTCGACATTTTAGCTGCGCAGCCGATCGCGAGTACGAGCAATTATTGTCATGGTTCACGAGACGCGATCAAGCGTTACGAGAAAATCGTTAAAAAATTCGATCGGTGACGCGACGAGATCGCGAGCTCGGCGATGATCGATTCAACGAGTTTTATTATAAGTTCTGAATCTCGAGAGCCAAGTCTCGAGATTTGTGCGGTCAGTGGCTGGCTCGTTGCACACAGCCTCGCTCGAGCGTAGAGTTTCGATACGTAGCCACAGCTGAGCATGTATCACAAGCTGCGAGAGGAAAAAAAAAAATTCCACACGATCTGGTAAATCAAGAATTCGGATCTTATTACTAGAAGCTCGAGGGCCACCGCCGTTACCGCAAATACGCGCGCTCCGCATTCGGATAGTACGTATACGAGACATCGTACGAGTGATCATCGAGTACTGCAGGGACGAAGACAGAGAAACATTTTTTCATCGACTCTGCTGTTTTAGTTTGAATAAAAAAAGAAAAAAAGTGTAAGCGTAAGCGCGCGGGTGACTCTCGCGACAAAGCTGAGTCTGCAAAATAAAAGGGCAGTGACGGAACAAAGCGGCACATATAGCTGTATAAAGTAGTAGCAGTAGCAGTAGCAGTAGCAGCAGCAGCAGCACGTGGCTGTCCGCACGCGTATATATATGTACAATATGTAATCATCGGCGCAGCAATGTCATAAGCGATACGTAATCTCCGCTTATAAATCTCGTGCGTGTGAAAATACTTATTGGCAGTATAGGCGCCAGTCGTCGTCGCTATTATACATTACTGTTGTCAGATATGTAATTATTATACCAGACGTATTAGAAGCTAGGAAGCGTTACGCGTGTGTATAATTGCGTTATTGTGCTTCAATATTTGCTGCTACTATTGCTGCTGCTGCTGTCACTGCTGCTGTACCGAAGTGCGAGTGCGCGGACGATGCGTGTCTGTGTATATCTGTCTGTCGGTGCGTATGCGTGTGTGTGTGTGTGTGCGTCGAGTCAAGAGCGCGGCCCCATATAAACGACGCCGGCAAGGCGAGCCAACGTCCAATCGATATTTCCGATGTACTCGCGCGTTTCACCCAGCTCGATTCGAGAGCTAGCGCACACGCGTAAAAAGTCGGATTCCCGACGAAAGCTCGGTGCCATAAAGCATGCGAATTTTGTTGCATCGTATACGCACTATGATCCTTTCTTTACACACATGTGGAGCATGCACGTGAAAAGCAAGCGTGGTCGTCACACAATAATATTACGTACAGATGTGGATTAAAGAGCTTACCGTGGAGCAATGCCTTGACACTGTGGTGTCGGAGGGGTGCGCGCACGAGGAGGGGGGCCTCGATACAGCTCGAGCTGCTGCTACTTTTGCATGTGCAAAGAACTGCCGGACGACAATTGCAGCACGACGAGGAGAATTTTCGTATTATTGTTATGCTGCACTTGTTCGAGTCGACCTGGACAGCTCTTGAGGGCGGCGATGATGTTCTTATTCTTTTTTTTTTGCTTCCGGACGCTGCAATGACAATCAGCTGTTGCTGGGCGTGTGCTGTGTTCCCCAAGCTCAAAGTTCTATCTCTGTATACAACTAAACTGCCGAGTCAAGCTGTCTCTCTCTCTGTGTGCTTTTTTCGTCTTCGTAGTCGCAAGCACTCGCACGCGGGGGGGGAAAACCGTGTGTGACGTACGTTTGTTGTGTATATCTCTGTTCCGTGTATATATTCTGATACAGACCAACTTAGCTGCTGCTACCGTTTGCGCGCTGCAAAAATTTTGCTCTTTCTCTCTCTCTCCCGCTCGCTATGTCGCTCGCGTCAGCCGCTCTCGCTTACAGTCGGGGCGAAACTGCGCCCGAGTGTGCGCCGCGACGAAACGAGCCTCTCTGCGTGCTCGCCTCGCTCTCGTGTGTATATAGTAGACAACGCGAGGCTGTATAGTCACCTAACGCGCGCATACTACTACTCTTTGTTTGTCTGTGTGTGCGTACGAGTGTGTGCGCGCGAGCATAGAGAGGCTCGCATTCTCGTCGTGTGCGCGCGCGTTTGCTGCTTCTATGTGTGCCAGTACCAGTACTTCTTCTCTGCGTGCGTGTATATAATACTTGTGCGTTTGCGTGCGAATGTTGAACGAAATTGTGCTGTATATATACCGACTGGTGTCGGTGGTGATGGGAGGGGGAAGAGACATAAAGCGCAGCTATGCTATATCCACAGCAGCAGAAGCAGTCCACGCGACACACGGCCAATCACACCTGATACATCCACCTATTATATTTAAGCTTGCGTATATGAGTACAACTTGCAGCTTCTTAAAATTAATTTTAAAAGTTCAAAGCTTCAACAAATTTATAAACGGTTTGCCTCTACGGCAAATGTCAATTGTATTGGTCATTCCGATAGCCGGCTGTACACAGGGGATCGCGAAAGCTCGCAAGCTCGACTGCGACGAGTGATCTTTTATGTTTCGTTTTAAACTCAGAAGCAAAGACGTACCTTAATTCTATATCTTATATCATAGGACTTAGGTACTTTTTAGCTTCTGGGTTTAAAACGATACCTTTTTGTGCTGAGTCGATACTCACGATTCACGCCAGTTCGTTCTTCCGAGCTCATTTGAAGCTGAGACCCGAGATGTGGCTCGTATTATAAGAAGGAAAACTTATATGCCAGAGCCGTATTTTCACGCGCCTGTGACAGACGTAATCAGTTTGGAGGCAGCATCAACATCATCACCATCATCATCACGTTGTCACGAAGAGAAAGAGAGATAGAGACGAAAGACACCGAGGGAAAATCGCTATTCGCGACGATAGATTTATTAGGGCCTAAACTTTTCCATCAGCGATGCCGCTCCATTTTGTCGGCTGATTTACTGCCTATATGCCACGATGTAGTACGCGCCAGCATTCACGATGCTACGAATCGTAATTTGACGTCGACTTTGCTGCATTATATAGCCTCGTCATTGCGAATCTCAAGTTCTCATACGTCTTTTGCCGGCGCATAGCTTCTTTTTCGTCAATACACTTCATACAGAACTAGACTTCGATACCTTTGTTCGGCGATCGCGTATACGCATACAAACATCGAAACGAGACACTATTTTTCCAATCGCCCTCGTATACATTATATTCGTGAGCCGATCCTATACAATAGACCGCATCGAGGGCCGCGCGACGGTGTCGAATAAATAAACGTCCGTGTCGCGCACGAGAGTAGAGAATGAGAAAAAAAATTCCATGACAAATGCGTGCGCGACAAATTGTCGTTTCCACTCTTTATTTATTTTGCTTTTACGTTGTATCTGAGTTCCATAGGTGTGCATGTGTATAGCTTTCTGTTGCTGCTGCTGCTGCTGCTGCGCCTATGTGCTCGTGTTTCAATTTTTGCTGCAATATAGTTATTTCGGTCGAAAAAGTATATAGTAACGTCATCGTGTGCGAGCGAAGCAAAGTGTAAAATATACTTACCGTTCGAGCTCTGGAATGGATACTCGCATATTGCTAGAATTGCATTTCCATGGCTAAAAGAATGGAAAATCGGTAATTTTTTATTATAATCGATTTTCGATGAAGGTACGATACAATATGAGCGATCCGAGAAAAATAACTACAAGTCTTGGAAAAATGTCTCGGGCAAAAATAGATTCAACGCGAGATATTTATGAGAATTCCGAATACTCGGGAAATTTGGAACGAAATGATGGACCACTGTGCGTGCGAACTTGACTCACTCTCGTTGTGGATGTTTATATTCCGAAACGTGGAATTAGAAAGATTAATCATAATAGTATTTGTGTGACTGAGCTTTAACTCCGAAACCTCATAGACTCGATGATGGGCCAAGGTCGCTACACATTCAGCTATATGTACTACGTGATTTTTCACCGAGTCGCATATAATGGTTCATGATTCAATTTTCATGGCAGAAAAAAAACCCAACAATTTTTTGTGCAATTTTTTTTCAAAAAGAGACAGCAGGTTATGAATTCGTTTTCAAAGTTATTTATTTTTCTGGGATAGTATTCATCGAGTCGAAATTATTGACAGATGATTTGTGTCAATAGTTCATTATGTAACTTTCAACAGAACATATGACCCATGAATATAAAGCTATGCGAAAAAACTATTTACTGGCTAAACGAGATTTTCAAAACATATTTAAGTTAATTGGTTTTTGGAAAGAGTTTCATACTCAGAGTCAGAAAAATGGATCATTTTCATAAATTTTTCCATTTGAATAATTTGCAAGTATGCATTAACTAGAAAAAATTTCGGTGATAAAAAATTATTTCTCTCGCTTACTCAAATATACTTTTCTTTTATACTTCAATGAAACAAACATTCACGGTTTATCTGTGCTTTACAGTTGATATTTTATAGTGTCCTCAATCGTGCGCACGGCAAAATCATTCGGCATATGGATCATCAATTAATTAGTTGGTATTCCACAAGTTTAATGAGCTGGATAAGCCAGAAAAAGCTCTCGATAATGTAATCGATTGATTTTCTGGAATCTTCATTAATCTATTTGAAATAATGTGAACTTCGTACGTTGATAATTTGTATCATACGTATAGTAAAATATTGCTTCGTAAGTTTTGTGTAAGTATCTTATTTAATATTGTTTATTATTGAATTCATAAAGCACACTTCGGAAACGATTAATTGTATAATTTTTAATGTTGTCTACAACAACAAATAGAAGTTGAAAAATGTTCAAGATTTTATTGATTCAAAAACTTTGAAATTATTATTAAAAACCGTAATGATCAATGACGTTAGTTACATTTTAAGATTTAAATAGAAAATACAATGAAGGAATGAAAAAACTTGCTTGAATTGACATAATTTTTGGCTAAAAAAATTTCAATAAAATGCTGCTAATTCTCGTTGCTGTTTTTGGTTACACGAAGTGTAATAAGAAAGTTCACCAAAGTCTCGCCCAAAGCGCCTATTTAAAATAATTAACCATTGTACGATCCAGACCAATATAGTTCAGATAATCAAAATTGTATATTTGGGTAAAAATAAACGAGACACAAGCATAAGCAATAACGCATTTATCGGATCTCTCAATCTATCTCGCCGATAGAAGAGAGAATATTTTAAAAGTAAATAAACAAAAAAAGTGACAAAAAACACAAGCTAATAATCACGACAGTAGGACAACAATGACAGAAAATCTTAACGCCATTAAAACATCATTTGCATTATTGACTAGTCTTCGGTAGTTTCACGATTCACTCTCACTCTCACACTCAAGCGACTCGTAAAGCTCGCATAATATAGCATCTTTCTCTAGTTATTTCTCACATACAGCAGATTCTAGACTTTAGAGCTTTTCTCATTGTAGCCGCTGCTGCAGCCATATAGTGTAAATAATAATCGAAGGTCGAACAGGAAACGGCTCTACCACTTATCTCCCGCAAAGCATCCGCAAAAACACTCAAACAGAGCCATCTCCTGTTGGAACCTCGATTCTATATTAGTAATCATACATGTCTCACTCGCACGTGCATTTTTACAACAGCTTTTTCCGCTGTACACACCTTTGTGTGTATGTGTGTACATAAGCCACACTCGCAATCCATAAAAAATACTCGGCAGAGAGTTATGTAAAAAAATAACTGTATGATTTCTTCATCGCAGCATCATCATTTATATCATTATCGGCTTCATAATCACAATATAGTCGATACGCGTAATTATGCAAAATAATATTATTGGTCTATATAATATTCTATTACATATAGTTATTTTTTTTTATGCATATGCATTTTTGTAATATTTTTCGATATTACCACATAATTCAATCTTCGACAACGTGGATGTCGAGAAAAACGTAGAATAAATTTTTTATAACGACGCTTTAACATCACTAGAAGAATCAACTCGCGTTTTAACATCATCATCGTCGTCGTCATCATCATCATCATCATTATAGGAACGTACAGATCATTATGATTTTCGAAGATTATCTTTATAAAAGAAAAATACGCAAACGGAAAAACGTACATGATACGAGTATAGGTATTCCTATCGTCTAAAGTACAAAAAGTATTTCATACGCTATATTTTTATACCTCACGAGGTACGACTATTTATTTGTAATTATTATAATCTGGCAATAGTTGAAGCGATTCGAGGTGTCAAGCTCAATTCGCGGTCACGATGGTATAGCAATTAGAAAAATTGATTCCTTAATTTCTACGTTTACAAGTAAAGGTAAATCTATCAAAATCACATGTTTTTTTTTTAATATCGCATGACATTCATATTTTTTATTTATTGAATCACAAGAATGAAATCTATCGTATCACTAGTAAAATGAATTTTTGTTTTAGCAACTAATGAAATCACACAAAGGAGACAGAACGAAAACGCAGTGAATACGGAGAAGATGAGAGAAAAAAACGTCAAAATGACAAATTGTTCATGGCTAGCCATTAACAAACAAAAAACAATATTTTATAATCAAATTTAAATTATATCATAATTTATAAGATACTTAGATTAAAACTCAATTCAGCTTCATAATATACAAGAATTGTATAAGTATATTCATCGAATTGGCAAGTAATTTGGATTCATTTTATCCATTAGTTATTTGTATTAATATTCATATAAAGTATTTTTATACTTTGAGGAAGAAAATCTTATATTCTGACTTTTAATTATCGATAATTTCAATTAATCTAATCTAGTATAAATTATATTATACTGGTCGGTGGTCCACAGACACAACCGAAAGGCTACGATGTATTTTTTCATGGAGATTAGAGCGATGGATAATTTTAAATGATTTACAATCTTAGTGATATTAACTTACTCATCAAATCTCGATTAAATAAAAATTTTTCACGATGAAAAAGAAAAAAAATGAAAATGAATCACCTCCAGGTTCATTGATCGTTTGTGGCATTGAATGCTATGCCAAATCTTAGGTAAAAAAATGTTTAAAATACACAGTTGACGACTGTGAATTATAAAAATAAATTCAAGTAACGTAAGAAATAAACGAAGAGACGAATAAAAACATTGAAATGATACATGAAAAAGAAGCGAACCTGCGCAAGAAAAGCATAATGTGTCACACACATTGGTCATACAACACGCGGCTAGTTTAATTATTTACACTCAGAAATGTGTAATGGGCAAAAATGATTACAACGTGAAAAAATAAATGAGGCTTCAATTTAGCGTTTGTGGATGTGTGTGTATGTGTAAAGTATGTACAAGAGTACCTGCACCGATGCAAAATGAGAATAGAGAGTTACATGCGCAGGCTAATTGTACACGTGCGTGATAATACATGGGTATACAAGTGACTCTGGAACGCGCAAACATTATTATGCGCGCAATTTGCGATATTTCGTTGGGCCATCGATAAGATTAAATTGGCAATTCCGTTGAGCTGTGCTGCTGCTCTGTTGTTACTGCTGCTGCTGCTCGACGTTGTCGTCGTCGTCGTCGATAGCTGATCTGGTCGTCGCTCGTATAGTGAATGCATAATAATATTTATGCATTTTATTATATTATACGCTGCTGAACTCGTTGCGCTTGCGACGCTCGACGATGGACTTTTTGCAGCGCCTGTAGCAATCCATGAGGGGCATGACCAGCAGCATAATACCGCTCAGCGCGATGAATAAGCCGGACAAATAAAACGACAGATCGTACGTGCCCGTTATGTCGTACAGCCAGCCTGTCAATCAGAAAAATGCACAGTGTTACATGTATTATATATTAAACTCAGGGGAAATAGAAAGTTTTCATTTTCTATTTGATATTCATAACACCCATTAAATTAAAACTTTTAATTTATTTGCAGCAACATATTCTTTAATGTTTTTACTTGGCAATTAATGCAACTACGATGCGTATGTTACCAACAAAGATATTGATTTACAAAACTTCACATATAGTACCGAACAATATGCAAAACTGAGCTCTGACTTGTTTTGAGTTATACAAATACTTTGACTTTGCGACTTGCAGATTTACAGGTTTGCAGGTACTTGCCATCTGGTGATGTAATCTTAAAGTAATTTTATCTTATTTAAAATGGTTGAAATACGATCTAAATTTTTCGAAAAAATGAAATTGCCTTTTTCAGGTCATTTAAAATTCGCTCAATACTCGTGACATAACGTAAATGTATTTTTAAAAGTTTAAAATGTTATTTTTCCGGTCATAAAGCCATTAATACTGAGAAAGTCAACGAGAAAGAGAATTTGTGTAAATCAATTACGACCTTTGTCCACCCCTGCATGTCGTATAACAATAATTAACCATAACTCCCAATGCCACATGCAAATAGATATTTATTAACGTTTTTTCCAATTCGCGCGTGTGTATGTGTGCACAGGCACGCGAGTATATAAAACAACGTCGCGTCGCAAGCCACGAGCCAGCGTAAACGCGTGCGTGCGCGACCGGGATCGCATGTGCGCGATGATACGTAAAAATGTAATGCAGCATACGTTCGCTCTCGCTCGCTTCATATACATCACATGAGAGAGAAAGAGAGATAGATAGAGAGAGAGAGAGAGAGAGAGAGCTGTGCAGGAAAGAGGGTGCAATCGATAATGGGCTGGATTATTTCGCGTGTGCACCAGCCGAGTGCAATGCATACACAGAAGCCTATACGATATCCAAAGACACGAGGATATAGCTGGTATATGAAATTCATTAACAAAATTGCTGCTGGCGTTGCTCTTGCCTCGCGGGATGATGGATAGGCGCGTCCATCGAATCGGTAAGTTTTAATTGTCCCGCGCCAGTAGCGAGAGAGCTAGGCAGCGATGTGTATTATTTTTACTCGACGAGTCGCGAGCATTGTTTATATCGCAGCACGAGAGTCAATATATAATACAGCTGCAAGTGCGCTTGGTTTTATTCGAATGTGTCTATCTAGCTGCTGCTTCATCGGAGCGCGAGCGAGTGTCGGACTCGTAAAAAGGCTCTGGGCGGGCTCTCGTTCGTTGCTGCGATGCAACCTTCTCGCTCTCGAATATGCGGCGGTGGCGATCGCGCTCCGTTGGATGCTTACAATATAACCACTATATTTGTGAACGCTGCAATGCACACCTATATACATATATCGTGTATACTTTAGCGGTGAAGGTCGGGCGCCGACGACTCGAGCCTACTCCTGCATAGAGGTGAATATAGGTACAGAGTAAAAGATTCACATTGTTGTGTACGTGTGCACGTGCAGCAAGAGCAGCAGTAGCAAAGGCGACGACGTGATATATATTAATTTTGTCACGCGTCTGCATTTCTATTTTCGTTCTTTTTTAGCTTTGACATTTTTTTTGTCTCTCTTCCGTTTCTTTCTTGCACTTCAATTGACTCTCTCTCCATCTCATTTTCTCGTGAGTCGGGTCGAGGCAGAGGTACGAATGGAGAATTTATCGCGGTAAATGAATTATTTCGATGTCGCGTGAAGCTTCCGGTGGCATTTCGGAGCAAAATCTATAATTCAATCATATTTGGATAAAGATGTTGCTATTTATATTGTTGGTAAGACAAAAAAGTATCGACTTGCAAAGAAAAGTGAAATCAAATGACGTATGAATTTCCTGACATTCTTTTTCCTGTTTTTTTAGGAGGGCTTTTACTTATGAATTGTATAAACTCGTTATCAGCTCTCACATTTGTTTTGAAATTTTATCAAGCGAATGATGAATTACGAAATGGATCCAATTCCGTGTGTTTTGCAAAGAGTACATGATCTATCAAACTCAACCCAAATTCCTCATATCGAAAGAGAGATAGAGGTAAATCTTCTATACACAAAATCCCATAAAGCTCCAGTTACGAGTAGGCTTTTTACGATCAAACCTCTATTACGCGTCGAAACGTGTACGTAAATCGAAATTGTTATTCCTGTGCCCGGACTATCATAAAGGGCGACTTTGTCGCGTGCGTCATACAACACACATGGCATTTGGTGCGCTCCAATCTCGTTAATGCAATAAAGTTCTTAACTTTAGGCCGCAACACGAGATCCGACGACGCGACCGTGCAAATGAGATTTTGCTCGATGTATAACGCGACTCGAAGTTTCAGCGTTTATTATATCTATGTACCCCCGAGCGTGGGTGTTGTGTATTACCAATTAACGAGAAATAATAATTATTATATTATATTTTACCTCCGAGCGGCGGTCCCATGAGATTTGCAATTCCTTGAACGAGCAGCAGCAGTCCGTAGGCATTGGTGAATCGCTCGAGGGTGATGGCCTCGACGAGGATGATGCTGGTGAGGCTGTAGTTGGCGGCGATGAAGAAGCCGAAGGCACCCGCTGCTCCGCTCAGCAGCACGTAGCTGTGGCTGACCAGGGGCACGAGGGCCGTGAAGGCGCCGCACAGCGCCATGCAGCAGGCGTAGACGACCGAGGCGTTGAGCCAGGAGCAGTCGCCCGCCCAGCCGAGTATGATCTGCGAGAGGAGAAAAAAAACGGATCAATCGAGCTCTTATTTTTATAATTGCGGGACAAAATTAAATTCGTCGTATACCTCGCCGGCCATGTTCATGATACCGATGACGGATATGAGCAGGGAGGCCTTGCGCTCGTCGAAGCCCGTCTCCACGGCGTTGTCGATGAGGTACATGTAAGGCACGTCGTACCAGGTGTGCAGCAAGAAGTTGCTGATGGCGAACAGCAGGAAGCGCGAGTCGGCGAAGTGCGAGAAGTCCAGCATGTCGCACAGCAGATCCCAGAACTCCCACAGGCCCGAGTACCAGACCATCTTTTGCTTGGCTATGGTCGTCATGGAGTTGCGATAGATGTCCGGGCAGCTGCTCGCCCTCAGCCTGTAGCGATTGATGTTGAGCATGGCGCCGCGATACGTGAGACTGTGCCGGTGCACGCGGATGTCCTTGAGGTAGGCCGTGGGCAGACGACGGGGCTGCTCGCAGCCCGCGATCGAGTGGCGCAGCTGCGCGTCCGGGCTGAACTTGCGCAGCCACCAGTTGTGGCCCTCGGTGCCGGGCTCTCCTCCCGCTGCCGCCGCCGCGATTTCCTTGTCGTTGTGATGCTGATGATGGTGATGGTGATGGACTCTGCGTGGGCTCTCCAGTTGGTTCTGTGGTAAATTGCGAGCATGAATTATAGGTTGCGAAAAAAGATGAAAAATTGGGAGGGTGGGTTAACTTACTTGATCACCCTGAGCATTTTCGTCAAAGACTTCGTGTCGAGCGTCCTCCTCGGCGATGGTATTGCCGGGCGCGGTCAACGGACTGAGGCTCGGCACGAAGTTCTTGTCGACGGCCACCTGATCGTACAGACCACCCGAGTCGCTGAAACTCCTCGAGGTGATCAGCAGACTCGGGTAGTTCTGCACCAGCACGTTGTAGACGTTCTTGCGATTGCTGAGCAATTCGAGCACCTCGAGCGGCACCTTCTCGCCGTTTCGCACGAAGGTCGGCAGGCTAACGAGGCTGGAGAAGAGTTTGTTTTCCGTGGGATCGACCAGGTCATGGGGTATCGCCTCTCCTCCGGCCAGGTCGCTCGCGTTGTTGTTCCTGGCCCCGGTCTGGGTCGTGTTGGCCGAGCTGCTGCCCGAGAACGAGTCCGCGGAGGAGCTCTGCACGCGCTGACGCTTCCGGGCCCTCTTGCGCTTGCGCTCGAGGGCGTTCTCCTTGAGCTTGACCGTGGTCCACTCGAGGTCGCGCATCAGGCAGCCGCACACGGCCAGATTGAGAAAGAGGCCGGCGAGTATGAGGGTGGCCCCTCGCCAGCCGTACTCCGTCAGCAGCTTCTGTATGAGCGGGGGAAAGATGAAGGTGCCGATGCCGCTGCCGCATACCGACAGGCCGGTGGCGAACGAGCGTCGCTTGTCGAAGTAGTAGGCCACGATCACGACGGCGGCGACGAAGCACAGCGACAGGCCGAAACCCGCGAGCACCCCGAAGGTGAGAATGAGCACTCCCATGCTGTTGGCGAAGTAGCTGATGACGAAGCCTATGGTGGCGAGGATACTGCCCGCGATGGTGACCTTGCGGCAGCCGTAGCGATCGGTCAGGAAGCTCGCTATGGGGCCCGAGAGCAGCGGCATCGCCATGAAGAGCGAGCCGACCCACGACGTGGCCGCCTTGCTCTCGCCGAAGTACTTGAGGAACTCGTGAAAGATGACGCCGAACGAGAAGGTGATGCCGTCCGCGATGAGATTGACCATGAAGGCCGCCGCGACGACGACCCAGCCCCAGCCGCCGTCCGGTGGACGAGCCTCGTCGAGGCTGCTGTTGTCCTCGGAGCTCGACGAGGACGACGAGATCGAGGGACTCGGGCCCCTCGAGGTCTCCTTGTTGCCGTTGCTGTTGTTGTAGCCATTGCTCTTGGGCTTGAGCGTGGCTCCGTTGAATTGTACGTGGGGCTTGCTGGCGTCGGGACTCGGCGTTATCGGTTTACTAGCACCGTTGCCCTTCAGCACCAGCTTGTCCGAGCTCTTGCTCTCTTCGGTGCTCGACTCCTGCGACTCGTTAACCAGCTGGAGGTAGTCGCGCTCGGCGTCTCTGCTCGAAGGTTGAACGATCTCGACCGAGGGCTGCAGCAGCCTCGACGAGGCCGACTCGTCGTCGTCGTCGTCGTTGTCGTTGTCAACGAGGAGGTTGCCCGATTTCACGGCGAGACCTAGCTCGTCGGAACTACTGGGCTCGTCCTCGTCGCTGGCGAGCTGCGAGTCCGAGCTGACGATGGGCACGATGCCGCTGATGCCGCTGCCGCTGCCGCCATTGCCTGCACCTTTGAACTTGACCCAATCGGAGCTGGCCATTTGGGAAAAGTCGGCGAATTTATTTTTTTTTGTCTTGTCGCGTAGAATTCGCACTATCGTTACGCACTGTGCACAGCCTTTACTTTACTCGATAAATTTATTCCGTATAGCACTTTAGACCGCACTGAATTCACTTATTGATTTCGTCCTTGATTTGAAGGGCCACTCGTAGAGCTGGCGTCGCATGGGCAGCAGTATGAGCAGTAGCAGGGCGCGACGGGTGATCGAGCAATGTATCGAGTGCCGATTCTGCCTTTGCTGCTGTATCCTCTTGGGCTGCTGCTGCTGTTTATCGCTGTGCTTGCGTTTGCTGTTGCTGCCACGACGAGGAAACAACCTGGGGCCCTTTTTACTGCTGCTGCAGCTGCTTGGGCCTCCTTTCTTTGGTGCTGTCTTCAGCGCCTTCTTCTCCTCCACCACCTCCTCCTCGAAGCGATCGTCAGCCCAGGCACCCATGCGGCGAATGGCGCTTCCGCGGCTCCGGTCTTTTGTGCTGCACAGAAAAGGAGATTGACAACAATGAGCAACGATTATTATATTTTTTATCTTACTTATATGTTACAAGATTATATAAATGCAACTCGTGATCAATCCCTCGTGTATTTGTTTCAATGTAGTCTAATGAACTTGCAGATTACGGGGGGGACTGAAATAGCTCGTATTGCTGCTGCGCATCGATCCGACCCCGCATATCGCGTGTACAATATACGCTTCTTCGTACTTTAAAGAGATCGTCGTTGCACAGAGAGGAGAACGACGATATACATTAAACTGCCTTTAACTGTGTTACTCGTAATAATATAATAATAAGCTAATTAGGAACGAATTTATCAAGTCCCGGCGATGTATAATAGTGCTTGCGAGATTGAAGGGCTGCACGCGGACGAGAGAAAGAGAAACGTATCATGGATCTCTTGGCGGTCGATAATTTTCTCGGACGTCGATCGGCAATACTGTTATAATAATCGAGTCGATTGATTATGCATCGAGCTTTTAGAACAGAGAGGATAGACTTTATACATGATTATCATCGTGAAATGAAGTTTTATAAATGTCGATCAGGCTGAGAATGGAGTGCTCACGAGGCAGCGCAGCTGTTATCAAAATTCAACTCTCTCGCTCGTTGTACACGACGAACGTCCGAATCTCTTTCTTTCCGCGCGCGGCAGGCAAAGAAACATCGCGCTTTCACATTTTAAATAACGTATAGCGGTGGCTCGAGAGCGCGATAAGAAAAATCGCGCGTTGCGTTTCTCGCTCGTACCGCAGTGGTGCATCATCGCACGCAGAGATTACCGCGAGCGCATACAGCGTGTCAGCTGCATGTGCATACATACAGTGGATAGGCTGTCTTTCTCGAACCACGACGAGAGCTTTTTTTTAGAAACGAGAACGCGAAGACAAAAATCATTGAGTGTCGCATCGTAATCGCATGAGCGCGGCGGTGTCGAGTCATCGTGCACGCGATGCGGGCATTGTCTCCGCGGCGCGAGAGTCACAGCTGCATAAGAACGCATCGTGATCATTAATGTATATATCCAATGAGATAATGTGGACGTATAAAGTTATCGCGCGGAGCAGACGAATTCGACGACGATACGAGTGGCGTGTGAAATAGCCGCGAAAAGGACGACTTGCCAACGACGTCGCTTACTCTCTTTCTCTCGCTATCTTTCTTTTCGTTGCTGCAATCGTTGCAGTTCGCAGTTATCGTACACTGCCAAAATGAGAGATACGAACGAGTAAGTCGAGGCCCGATACTCAACGTTCGAACGGCGAGCAGATCGTAAGCTCAAACTCAGAGTCGGGGGGTATAGACCAGTTTTTTTGGTCTACAATTTTTATCGCTATCGTTGTGGGTTTTATAAGTTAATTTCGCCTGTTACTGGTAGTATAATAATTGTACTGCAGCTCGCATGTATGTAACTCTTCGTAACGAATCGAGGTCACAAGCTATACGCGAGCCAAGCACCAGCACGAGCACACTCCGCGGGCTCCACTAATTTTTTCTGCTTCTCAAAAAATATATACTCGAAGAAGCTGTGTAAATAACAATATAATGTAAAAATTACACACGGACCTGCGGAGTAAGCACACGAATGAAGCTCAATTTTGCTCGAGCCCCGTAACGAATTGCTATGCACGAGCTGCGAGAGCTTCCGATTAACTCCGCGTGACTCGAGACGAATACGTATACGCCAGCTCCGAAGGGTTCGCCGCGCAAAAGCTCATCACTGGAAATCGCTGCCTCGTGAATCGCGCCGCGTGAAAGTTCGAGGCAAATCGACTCGCTCGCTCATAGCTAAAGGAATATGATGAATTCAAGATATTGGCATTGAGCTACTTATTACAGATGCGCGGCGCGTGCATCGTAGCGCAATTGCAAACACAGACATATAAGCCGCTGCTGCTGCTGCTACTTCTTCTTCTTGGCCTCGAGCGAGTGTCTCTTGGTGAGAGTTCGCGCTGCTGCTGCTCAGCTGCTCGCTTGCTTGCGCTGCTCCGTGCGATGACGCACGATATATAATACAACTCGAGAAACGGAGCTTTTTTGGCTTTCCGGCGATATCGAAATTTAGGCAAAACTATACTTCTGTATACATATTCACGCGTTTTCGACTTTCAAAACAAAGACGTACACGCGCGCGCAAGCCACACGCTACGTTATAATTAAAGCTCAACGTTGACAAGATAGACAATTTGTCAGTTCGATGTAAGTATACGATGAAAAAGCAAAGATAATGGGTTCGATAGGGACATAATAATAATCTCGTAATTCTCGACGCAGATTGCTGCGTACGATGATCGCGATAATTCGGCCGATAAGCCGCGCAATGTGCATACTATATCGGTAAAAAGCCTGCGATAGATAGATTACATGGCTTGCGAGTAAATAAAAAAACGTATCGATTGCATCGATGAAAGCTCGTGCTTCCCAATTTTCAATGAACAAGAATACATCGCGTGCGATATGAACGGTAGTGACAAAAAAAATTCTGCTCTTTTGTATTATTCAAGCTTTCGAACGTATATTCGACTGCAGAGTAAAGCCCTGTAAAAACGTCGCTCGATATATGCAGCGACGTACATTATAATGTCCAGTGATGTACAAGCCTAAGTAAGACGCACGCGGACACAGACAGATCGGAATACGCAATCACAGCGGCAGTCGCAGTCGCTACAACGCCACAGGGAATTGCGGTGTGGAGAAGCGCAGCAATGGCATACAACAGAGAGTTTACTCACACTCACGCAGAGAAGAGTTTAATCACCTGTTTGACGAGCATCATCATCATCCTGAGTTCGGAGCGGCCAACGAACTCTATATGTTATATACTCTCTGTCTCTCTCTCTCTCTTGCTTCGGTCGTTCCACGCGCGCCTCATATATACATAGTACTACTGCTGCCTCGAGAGTGAGTCGGAGTCGCCGCCGCCGAGTCGCCGTCGCCAACACCGTCGTGTGCACTTGTTTATTACATTATTCGCGTGGTGTGCCGAGGAGGCTGAAGGCATCGATCGCTTTTTATATGTATATAAACACGCAGACTCGCTGGTGCACGAGCACACAACTGACACACTGCTACTGAATACGGAATGAAGAAATAAGACAGCTTATAGCGCGAGCGAGCTTAGAGGAAGACGGAGAGGCGAGAGAGATAGAATAAAAGTGTCTGCACTGCTTCTGCCACTGTGTTATAGCACGCTCTTATGCTACTTTTAGCCCGATATTACTCGGATTTCACTTTCTCACTAGGATAATTAAATATTGTGTACCTCGCAGATGCTATACAGAGATAGTGACAGCGGTATGAGCAGCAGACGACGACGCCGATATTTTGCTTGGCACACGTCTCGCAGCTCGCTCGTCCTATGTATTGTATGAAACTCGCAGCAGCCGCAGCCACCGCCACCGATTCACAATTATTCAGCTGCCTTTTCTTTTTATCGTCCGATTCTCGAGTCTATCTCTCGCGCGAATACGCGTCGATGAGCGAGCGAAAGTTGCAATTATAATATTAACTGCGCGATCCATGCAGCGCACGAGTTGGCGCGTGGTACTACTGCAATCAATCGGCGACTTTCGACCTCTCGTCGGACTCTGAGTCGATTATTGTAATGTAAACCGATCGGCCTGTACCCGCCGAGGAATCACGTGTATATGAGTAAGTATTGTATCATTTATGAATTTTACACAATGACGACGATCGGCATGCGATCGAAGGGGTGAGACACGGAGTCGTCGCACGAGATATCATTGCGGCCGTTACAATTTAATTACCGCACTGACACTTTACATTATAATATCGTCACATCGATTGGTTTCGCGCGGCGCGTTATATAGTTGTTGTTGAGTGCTCGCTCGTCGCGACTCGACTGCCCGCATAATACGAAAGCCGACGGCGGCGACAGCATCCCGAGCGATCGCGAGACTCGCCGTGCACGATCGCTCGAGGCAGTACTCTTTCCTGTATATCATGCACACGCACACGTTTTATACACGCATACTTGGGTAGTCGCGAGCGAGAAGCTCATTAGCACTGCGATACACGTGCACGCACGCAGCTCGATGATCGTCGTCCCGCATATTATTATTCCACGATCGTTGCGTCAAAAGTCGATTGTCGCAAATACATCGTTACGACTAGACCTGAGCTGTATATCGGTATTATATGCAATTCCATAAATTCGATAGATCGGCATAAGACGAATGAAAAAAATTCTTGAAACAGATTAGGCGTGATCGAACGAGTGGCGAAGGCTAAAAAAGTTTTATTGACGATCCATGAGCGTAATGATGCGCTAACAGAAGACGTCTCTCTAGCTGATGTTCGACGATTGCGTATTGTGCCGCAAGTATTTTGTTTACTTTACAGCCTCGACCCGCGCACGCACCGTCGACACATTCGTCTATGTGTATATATCAAAAGTATTCGACTTACACGCATTTCATTTTATATGTACATACAGCTTGGAAATCGGGAATTTCGCGTAGCTTCTACTAGATATATCTATTTCTCACACATGTGCGTGTACATAAAGTCGAGTAACGTAGATATGAGCAATTCTCCAAATGAAACGCATTTTTTGAGGTAGAATCGCGGCAAATTTTTTTTTCAATCTACGCGGATACGGACCCCCGGGAAATGTTTTTGGGGGTCCTAGGAACATGTAACCACGTAGGAACCATTGAAATTTCAATAGTGCTTATTTTTATAGTTACTTTTGTGATTTAGAGGACGAAAAATCATGTTTTCTCGT